TAAAAACCAACCCGAACCCGAAAACTGAACGAGCCCCCAAAAACCACTTAAAGAAAAATTACCTATATATAGTAAGAGGATGCTATTTACTTATAAAAACTGTGGATGTTGTAAAAAAGAATGACTAACCTAAAGGTTTTACTAAACAATATTTTTCCCGCTGGAATTTGTGATGAGATACAGTATGTGATTACAACCTTCACTGTTCAAAATGTAAAGACTTAAACGATAGGGAGCGTAGATACATAGATTTCAATTATCATTTTGACTATTTTAATGATAAAAAACTGACGAGAGTAGAAAAGACAATCAATTTATTTAAAACAAGGATGGAGAAATCACCTATTTATTTATCCAACACGAACCGAACAAACACTCGGCAAATGAAAAGAGAAATTGATGTTTTAATGGATACATTCAAACTCAAGCAAGAATTCAAACATGACAAATTGTTCTTAATGGCGATTAAGTCTTTTGTGAAAAAGGAGTGGAAAACTACCTATCACTTCCTTAAAAACTTTCACGACCTTACATATATGACATATTGTAAGAGCAAACGGGAGTGGTGGTTTCCTCAAAACGATTGGACTTATACATTCAGAAATAGGGAGTTTAAGGTAAATGACATTTTGAAAATATTTTTGCATGAATATGTTGAAGAACTGTTCAACGGTTATGAGAAATATTTGAACATAGCAGAAATAAAAGAGCACCTACAAAAAATGGTAAATACTTAAAGAAAAAATAACTATATATAGTAAGAGAAAATGAGTAAAGCAAAAATTCAGGTTATAGATAGAGATAATATCGGTATATATGCTGACTTCGGTAGTGAAAGCGAGGACGATGACTGGGAAAGAAAAGCAATAGAAAAAGAAGATGAAGAGATTAGAGACTTTGTAAAATGTCATCCCTTACCACCACGTGAAGACTTTGATTTTTGGAAATCTGTGCTTGATAGAGTTGTTAGTGAAAGTAATGTTGAACGGTTTAAAATATTTATACACAAACAACTTGACATCATCAAACGAATGTATGAAAACCTCACCAATAAAGATATAATATGATATAATCATACAATGCGGAAAAGAATTGAATAGAAGAGGTGGGTGTTTTTGTATGAGTGTTAATATGACCCTTTTATCAATAGCGATGGATGAACTAAACGATACAAACAATCCCTGCTTATCACAAATGAGAGTAATTGAACACTGGTGCGATGGAATAGGTGAATGGAAAGCATAAAAGATCAATTCATAATATCTTAACAAAATATATTATGAAGTAATCCACCCTAAAACCCCTTAAAGACATAACCCCTTAAACTTGTAGAGGTATAATGACTGACAAAAAGCAGTGTTCTAAATGTAAAGTCTTTCAACCGTTAAACTATTACAGAGATGAATGTAAGCAGTGTAAAAACTGTTTAGAAGCAAAGCAACGATACAGAGAGAAAAACAGGGACAAATTAAGACAGTATGCCATACAGTATCATCAAAGAAGAAAGGAACAAACAACAGAGGAAAAGAAAGACACTAATGAATTGAAGACTGAATGTCCCGTGTGCAGAAGTATCATAAACAAATATCAGGTCAAAAGGCACGAAGAAAGCATCAAGCATCAAACCAAACTGAAGGGAAAGGAACAACCGAAAGTTGTGAGAAATGGAGATGATGAAACTGGAATGTTAGGCATATGAAATCTCAGTCCAAACATAAAACCCCAACAGCCTAAACAAATCCTACCCCCATTCAATCCAAACATCAACAGTGAAAGTTAAGACCCTAAACCACCCCTAACAATGTCCCAGTAAATCATCAAAACCAAGGAACACACATTGAACAACAACATAAAAACCATAACAGCCAAAACACCCTCAACAAAACCCACCCTCATCCAAACCAAACATTATTACATCAACCTCAACAAACATTTAGCAAGATAATCAAAAAGAAACAGTCAAACATTTAGATTTACAATATTTTCGATCTACCCCCCGCCCAGTAACAGCAGATAAATGATTTTCCTTTAACCTACCCTTTCAAAACGAGCACAAGGAAATTGCTCCAAAAATCTCGGCTAGGAGGTGCCCAAAAAAAACGTCAACCTGCCCTCCAAACCTCTGATACAGAATTCAGAATTCAAGACAGGGGCTTCACTTTCAAGATCTTTCAAGCATATCAGTTGCATTCCAACATTGAGAAAAGAAGAGCGCAGACTACAGACAATACATTCATGTGTTACCCTGAGAAGGTGCGAGCAAGGCGTCTGCATCGAAGCAAGGACTAGAACATATTGTGAAAGGATTTGGCCGCTTGATGCAACTGGCACAATGCACCGTAATGTGCTCAACCATGGAGTCAGATTGGCCATGTGGGAAAATGGAAATGTTATATACTTGGCATCCATCCTAAACTTTAAATTCTAAACCCCGAGCCCATTCGAACCCTAAATCGCAAAACTTCATTGACGCGTAAGTACCAACCGCCAAAACCAGCACAAGCTAGACACAAAAAGAGCACAAAAAAACACAAAAAAAACATTAAAAAACACAGAAAAAAGCACAAAAAAACACCAAAAAAAGCACCAAAAAAAGCACCAAAAAAAGCACAAAAAAACACAAAAAAAAGCACAAAAAAAGCACAAAAAAAGCACAAGGAGACTGCAAAAATAATTGCGAAAAAAATGAAAAAAACTAGCCCGGGCAAGGAAAGGTCCAAAGGGACGACAAAACGAGCACCAGAGGGACCACAAGAAAAGCACAATTTGAGCACCAGCCGAGCACAATTTGAGCACCAGCCGAGCACAATTTGAGCACCAGCCGAGCACAATTTGAGCACCAGCCGAGCACAATTTGAGCACCAGCCGAGCACAATTTGAGCACCAGCCGAGCACAATTTGAGCACCAGCCGAGCACAATTTGAGCACCAGCCGAGCACAATTTGAGCACCAGCACAATTTGAGCACCAGCCGAGCACAATTTGAGCACCAGCCGCACAATTTGAGCACCAGCCGAGCACAATTTGAGCACCAGCCGAGCACAATTGAGCACCAGCCGAGCACAATTTGAGCACCAGCCGAGCACAATTTGAGCACCAGCCGAGCACAATTTGAGCACCAGCCGAGCACAATTTGAGCACCAGCACAATTTGCACAATTGAGCACCGGAGCACAATTTGAGCACCAGCCGAGCACAATTTGAGCACCAGCACAATTTGAGCACCAGCCGAGCACAATTTGAGCACCAGCCGAGCACAATTTGAGCACCAGCCGAGCACAATTTGAGCACCAGCCGAGCACAATTTGAGCACCAGCCGGGCACAATTTGAGCACCAGCCGAGCACAAAAAACCGAAAACAGTAAAACCAAAAAAGTCAACTGCGCCAGCCCCAGCCCCAGCCCCAGCCCCAGCGCCACGCCCAGCCCCAGCCCCAGCGCCCCCAGGCCCAACCCAACCACACCAGCCCCCAGCACCCCAGCCCAGCCAAGCCCAGCCCCAGGCCCAGCCCCAACCCCCCACCCTTGGGTTTGGTGGTGGTGGTTGTTGTGGTGGTGGTGCTGCTGCTGCTGCCGCTGCTGGTACTGCTGGTTGTAGTGGTCGTGGTGGTGCTCTCGCTGGTGGGGGGCGGTTGTTGTTATTGTTGCTAGTTGTCACATTGCTAAGCTGTCGTAGTTACTAAGAATTGCTAAGGTTTCCAACGGAATGTTGGTGATAAGTTGGCCAGTTCCTAGCAAATCTGTAGCAACCAGAGCCGAGAAGAGAGAAACATACACCTGTGCAGCTTGATTCCTTCCGATTCACATGAAACATTTTTTCAACCATTTGATGATTTACATATTCATGGTGTCTACCTGATCCATTGTTTGGTTTTGGTATAAGAATTTATCCGTATCATATCACCAGATTAGACCCTTATTTTCTGCATTTGGCTGGTGCTCATTTTGTGCCCCTGGCTTGTGCTCACTGTTACTGCCCCGGGGGTAGATCAAAACAATATTGAACAAAAACATAACAACCTCCCAACCAACCTCCAACCTCTCTTGTCCTAGTTTCCCCCTTTCACCGTTTTTTTCTGGGGGACCTCAAAAATGTAATTAATGTAATTTCTGATTTTACATGTTTGAGGTCCTCCCCAACCAACGGGGTGGTGATATGTTTGTATCTTCATTGCCTCCCAAGAATCGGTCATAGAGGAAACGCATGGAAAATCAATGAAAATCGGGTAAGCGCGGGAAAGCCTCTTGAATGTGCGACAAGAATCAAGGGTCAGCTACGGTCAGCTTTTGAACCTGGGAGATCCTGGGGTTGGACTTGTACGACCTGCTGCGAGGCAAATGAGATTGTGCAAACCTCCATGTCGCTGGACTGCCAGGGGAAGAAGGGCAACGTGGGCTTCAAAGTGGTCACCGCCTTGGGATGCACTTCTTTAAAGCCTTGAACAAATCAGGAGCCTCCAGGAGCCTCCAGGAGCCTCCAGGTTCTAAGATGTTTTTTTTCGTATAGCAGTATAGTTAAGTGATGTTAAGTGCGTGAGCCTTCAGTTTGAAGACCCATTCAAATGATGTGCTTGACAGGTCACCCGGGCTGTCAGCAAGCTGGCGGAAACAATCGAAGAAGAGGAGGATGATCCTTCCGCCCAGGCGACAGCAGAGGTCAATTTCTGTTAAGTACAGAATGTACAGACACTGCTCGGAAACGCTTTGATCATTTTTGATATATATATATATATGTATGTATATGTATATGTATACATATATATATATAATTACATATATATACATACATATTTATCATATTTGCCTGAGGTTAGTAACGGTTAGCACTTGTAACATCTTGTAACTCTTACAGATCTCTACTATTCTCTACTCGTATCTACTCGTCGACTACTGATGAGTAAACCCAATGATATGGCTCACTATACCCGCTATAGCAGTCTTGCTGTTTGCGGAGTTCTTTCGGCTGAGCCCCTTCAGCCCAGCTCCCACAATTTCTGACCGGCATGGCTAACCTCGTGCGTTGCGGTTTAGTGGCGCTTGCAGCTGTGTCACTGCAAGGCCAATCGGGCAGCCATCCATCATGTTGTTTCCTGAGGTGTTCTGGTTGATGTTTTGAAGTTTCAAGTACATTTCCATCATATTTCGCGACTACCTGGGATGGTTGTTCCCCATAGCTACGGTTTGGGGGTTGAAATCAGCAGGATGCAGTGACGATTCTCCAAGCCCACGGCCACCAGAAACGACTTCGGTCACACTGCGAAATGGTGTGAAAATGCCTATGCTGGCAGCAGGCCAGGCCAGAGACTAGAGATTGTACAATGCGGGTTCGTCTGCAAAAAGGAAATGCCCCAAAAAAATACAATTTTAATGAGGAACTTGATAGTTGATCATAATTATCAATTTTGGGGTGTAATGCACAGCCACCAATTACCGTGCGTCTGGAGAGATAATGAGAAAGTCTCGCTTTCCAAGGTACTTGGCAGTACAACGACTCGGTTGCAGAAGAGACACTGATTGCGGCTGTGCATGCTGGTTTCGTGCACATTGATACAGCCTATGACTATCACAACCAGGCCTGCTGCTTGCTCAGTATGTGGTGAGTATGCCCAAATTTGTTGGAATGCAATGGATTGAGCGCAAAGCTGCCAGGTTGGTGTTGGAAGAGGCATCCAGAAATCCGGAAAACCCAGGGACTCTCTGTTCATCACTAGCAAGGTTACTTGCACTATGCACAGTTCATCGCCAATTTGAGACGCCTCCAGGATCCGCAGGTCATGTGGCTTTTGTTGTTTGGTCTTCATGGATCTTATTGGTTTCTCCCAAATGCGGAAGACCACAAAACAAAAACAATGCCCATTTTATCCCATCTTCATGGGGAAGATGTATCAACCATGGGATGTAACGGAATTACCATCATTTTCACACAAGACCTGATGGTTGTCTCCCCTCTCTAAAGACCTCCAGCAAAACGCTCAGGTCCCTGGGTGCGGGCTTCAGAACACCACGGCCAAGACTGTGGAGCAGTGCAAGACTGAAACCGACGACAAGATCGCATTGGATTTGCAGCAGCTCAATCTATCCTACCTTGATATGGTCAAGGCCTTACTTGCTGGCTCCTGTGATGGGTGCGCATGGATGCCAATGGCACCCAATGGCATATAAGTAGAATGTTCCTGGGTGAGATACCCTCTCACTCAAGCAAGCATGCACTCTGTGCTGAAGGCTGTCCCCAATCCTGCCTGCCTGGAATGTTCTAATGACATCCAAAATAATGAATGGCAATAAATTTCAATCAGCGAAGAGACAGTCCCAGCTGATTTCACGTAAATCGACTTTGAGATCAGGGTTGCTCATTGCAACGTGTCCCTCGCTTTCTACAAAAACGAGGGGGTAGCCACTATGGACAATGAACGTCAAGATCTGCACGAGAGATTCTGATGCGGGTATTCACACGAGATGAATATAGAACATTATATTAGATATTATATGTAGGTCTGTAGGTTTCCGCCGACGTTCTGAAGATTCGGCTTAGCTTGGTTGTATGCTGCCTCCTTCCACTGTGACATCCGCACGTGGCCGTCCGCCTGCCTCTGCTTTGCTGACTTTGGTTCGCCATTGGCTGTTTGAGCACATCCATGACTTCAGCTTTGTTTTGCAAACCTTCAGAGCTTCAAATTGAATGTCGCACCAACAATTGGATGCTCTGAAGTGGTCACCGAGTTTATTTGCGGTGTTTTGCCAACTGGCCTCAACCGGGTGTTTTTTTCCCCCCCTTTTTGTTGCATTGGTCAGCCATTGCAACGTGCGGATTGACTCGCGCACGCGCGTACAGCTACCACCCGGTTTCATGGGCGATTTTGGCTATGTTGCTGCCGAGATTTTGCGTAGCCAAGGGGCTACTCACCCTACGACTGGACCGTTAATCTCATGGGTCCTTCGTGGATTTAATCGAGAACGTGAATGAAGACGGGGTGCATCCATCTAAGTGCTGCGGGCCTGTAGGTTTCCTAAAATTGGGGTACCCCCAAATCATCCAATAATCTGGCAGAATAATTAAACCATTTTAGTATTGAAACCCATGGTCTTTGGGTATCCCCCATATAACAACACAGCTCTTCAGAGCTGAGGTGTTGGTGCACTTTCCACCATGCCCTGGAGATGATGGAAGCGCGGAGAGTCCATCGGAATGTTCGTGCTATGGTCCCAAGAACGGCTGCAGCCACCCGCAGTCCTGTGACATGATCAAGGCACAGTGGAGTGACTTGGCATGGTGCTGGCCTTTTGTTTAGCATGAATATCATGTTGAGACACTGGGGGGAAAAAACCATTCATATCCATTCATATCCATTCATTCATTGTATTTCATTGTATTTCATTGTATTTCTCTTCTAAGTTGTCAAAGCTGTGGCAGAGTGTGCTCAAAACAGGCCAGCACACAGGCTCCAATTTGCCAAATCAAGCCTTCGCACCCCAGCCCGCACCACTGTGGATTCACTGGGCCCTGAGGTGTCCTCACGGATGCCTACAAGAAGAAACAAATTCGTGCCATTGGTGTGTCCAACTACTGCAGTGCCTGCTTGGAGTGCCTGACTGGCAGCGAAGTCTTTCCAATGATAAACCAGGTGCAGCTGCACGTGGGGATGGGACACTTGGATTTGGTCCGAGAATGCCCAGCCATTGTCACCATTGTCACCATGGACATGTCTCAAAATTGGGAACCCCAAAATCCCATGGCGTTTGGTATAACATGGTATAACAACATCATTACTTTCCCCACACAGGAGAGATAAGTTTGGACGTCCGGCTATCTCGCATCTCGAAACGGTTGGGGGTGAAGCTTAGTGCACCTTCCACCTGAATCTGTGAGCCCATGAGGATCGGATCCGGAAGGATTTCGAACATTTGCCGAGAAACACGAGATCAAGCTGCAGGCATGGTGGACACATGGATGAACCAGAGCCACTGAGCCGCTTTGACCATGCGCATGGATCAGCACATATCAGCACTCAACACTTGCTGCTTGTAGGCCTACAGTCCCTTTGGCAGCGGCGGTCATGGTTCCGAGCAAATTTTGAAAGGCATTTTTGATAGAAGTTGTATGAATCCAATTCGGAGGTTGTGATATCGTGCAGTTTCCCTGCTGAGCTGCATGTTGAAGATTACATCTGGGCGAGGCAACCTCACCACATCCATTGGAAAGGCTCATGGGAAGTCCGCTGCACAGGCCCCACATTGCAGCTGAAGGGTTGAGCGGGTTGGGTAAGCGCTGTCAAGCTGCCTGTATTTTCCTCCGTGGCTGCAGGTGGCTTTGAAGTGGATCGTGTCCCACAACGTCTCGGTGGCAACCAAATCCTCAAATCCAGCTCATTTGAAGGCCAAGCTAAGTAAAGGAGGAGATGTGGCACATATTGTGTGATTTGTGTGGTTGGGAGCGCATCTTTTGATCGCTCTTTTATTGGGGTGGGAAGGGTTGAAGCACAGAGGCTAACGCGGACATTTTCGACTTTACGCTCAGCGATACGGAAATGGACAGCCTCGACAAGGCAACTTTTGCATCAGAGGACTGGGACGCGACACATGACAGGATTGGTTTTTGGTTAGGCCAGCTGGGGGTTCATTGTCGCGTCGTGGCGGCAGGACACTCCGTCCTTCCTTTGCACGGATTCCAATCCCAGCGCATCACAGGCTAAGCTCTTAGCAAAGGAGGTACCAGGAGTTCATTCAGTTTAGTGTTTGCATATCCTGCAGGACTTCGTGCGTAACAGCTCCCGGGCATTCCGTGCAATTCTTTTTGTTTGAAGGTGCAGCTGAAGAGCGAGATGAGCGTAGTGGTCTGAGCTTAGAAAACTCAGGATGGTGATGAGGGATGTACATAGGCTGATAGCATCACCAAGTATACGGACCGTGTGCTTGACGCGGCAGCTTCACTTGGCCGTTTGCTTTCAGTTTCAAATCACTTGCTATACCTGAAGGCTAGAGCGGCTAGAGAGATCAAACAAGTTCCACTGATTTCCACTGGTTCTTGGGGCTGCCTGCTCTTTGGATCGGCTGAATGTGACTTACTGGTCACATGGGGGTGCTTGGGGCATCGTCGCACTGCAGCCTGGCTCCAAATCCGTAGGACAAGGTTCCGAGCGTTTCAACTAAGACGCAATGGTGTGGGCCAGTCCAGAGATAGACTTGTGCAAGAAGGCGGCAATGTGGGGTAGCTACGGGTAGCAAATTAAGTAAGGTGGTATTGTTGAAGCATTCCATTTGCAAGTGTGAGACAAGCAGCTGATGCTCCAACTTTCAAGCAACTTGTGGCATCATTTTGATTCATGTTGTTTCATTTTGATGCTTCGATGTGGCACCAAATGGTGCAGGTCTTTACAGCCGACAGCTTTCTCATTCGCAACCCCGCCGAGTTCAAGAACAACTCCTTTAAGAGTCCAAGTCCAACCAACTTGGAGAGGCCCTGCAATTCCGACGTTGTCCAGAACTGTCGCAGCCCGCCCTAGCTTCGGAGCGTCAGGACATGCTGGCGAGGAGTCAATCTTGGAGGCTTGGATCTTTGCATTTTGAGACTGAGAAATGGGAAGCAGTTCGTAGATGTTCATAGTCATAGTCATGCTGTAGTAAACATAGTATGCCATAGCCATAGTGTAGGCAGATTGATGATTGAAGCATTCAATCAGGTTGGCTAGTGCTGGAGAAGTGGATGGCACCAGACCTCTTCGCTCTTGTTCCATCAGTGGCCTAAGCTGAATTCGGGCATTTGGATTGTATGCAGCTGTTTCTGTAAACAACTTATCGTGCACCTCTCTCTCTCTATCTCTCTCTCCATCGTGCACCATTGTGGATAATTACCGAAGCAAGGCTGATGACGAGCGATCCTTGTTGGCCGAAGGAGGTAGCGAAGCACGTCATGCCCTCGGCCAGACGTAACTCATCAACAGCCAACGGACGCTGATTGCAGAGATCCAAGGAGATGCTGTGGCCAAATTCCGCGAGACCTTCATCACTCAAGAGGCAACTTCGCCGCAGAGGTCTGTCCTTTGTTCCTCAAAGATCAGTGCTATGATTCCAAGTCCTGGAAGGGTTGTAATTAGTTCAGACATGTTAAGACTAGTTGCGACTCTCTCTCTCTATATATATATTTATATAATATATAGTATAATTTCAATTAATTTCAACATTTTACACTATCTTGCAATTCATTGGGGGCTTTGGGGGGTCCTGAACTTAAAAGATGTTTCAAGAGGGTCCAAGTTGAGGCTGGAAGTAGCGGATCCTGAAGGTTTGCGTAGCTAATGGCTAATGCCTATTCCAAGATGTCAAACGTGCCCGGAAAAATAGTGTAAACTGATCGGTTCAACAGTTCAAACGTTTATTTGCTGCAACTATGGTCTACATGTGACGGGGAGTTTGTTTGTCCGTTGCTGCCAATGTGGGAGAAAATGACAAGCTCTCAGGCTCTCAGGACCTTGGGTTTTTGTAGTCTCATTTTGGGTGTTTTGCCGAATGAATTGAGGACCTTCACTGGCTTAGACATGAAGGAGGAATTGATGCCGTGCGTTTACCCGTTGGTTTCTGGTGCTTGGACGAGTTTGCCGCATCGACCCCAATGATGTCAACCCAACGCTATGTTGACGCAGTGTGCCAGTCCCAGCTTTGCCGAGCCATGCAATGACTGTTCAAAAAGCGGGGCAGCACAAGAGTTCAAAAAACAACCAGTACAGTATCAACTACCAAAGATTATGACTAAGCGTTGTATCATGTTTGAGCCGTAGTCGCCAGAACAAGTTGACAAATGCCGGATTTTGCTGCATAAGAATCACTCCGCTCCAGGTTTGACTGGGCAGAGAAGTATGGCCTGAAGGTCCTACTTGAACTGCATGGCTTAGTGGGGTCCCAAAACGGAGAACATCATAGTGGTGACAGTGGCCAGTTGGCTTGGTTACAACCTGCCAACCGCGAGAAGCTTTGTTGCAATATCACTGTGAAGGAATGACTGCACCGTCTTGAGTCTCGCCATGTCTCGCGTGCCGACCTCTTGAAGTGTGCGCCTGCCAAGGAGAAACCTTAAGGTGATTCGCGCATGTGCTCAGCGATGGGGCTCCCGAGAGTCCTTGCTGGGATTTGGCTTGGGAAATGAGGTACCCTGCTGAAACAGTATCATTATTTCCACAGCACTTGCGAAATCTAGAAACCAGCACCGGCACGTGTTGGAAACGGATGCATGTTGCATTCTGACTGACGTGTCGCTGAGAAGATTTGACCGTGTTGCTGGTTCCCGAGCCGCTGATCAGAGGGAACCACGGGGTAGGAGATTTCGGAGATTTCGGCCATCTGAGGTAGGTGAAAAGGAACCAACATGGCTTGACCAACTGGCAACTGGGCCTGTTTAGTCATTGGTCAATCAGGCAGGGGAGGCATTTATGGGAAGCACTGGCATGGAGCCCAACGGTGCTGCTGAGGTGGCATTCCTGAATCTGGGATATTTTGATGCAACCCGTTTCTATTGGGATCCTTGGGCACAAAAAAAATCAACTGCAAGTTTGTTTTTAGATGTTCGCTGCAACCCTGACGTTGCGCCGCGTCTGACTTCAGGTGGATATGAAGATAAAGTTGAGGTTATTAGCCCAACCAGCATATTGTTCATAGGGGGTGGCGAATTGTGATCCCTCATGAAGATAAAGTTGATGTCATCATTACCCCAGTCAACATATTGTTCAGAGGGGAAGGCGAATTTTAATGCGATGATTATGATGATCATGATGTGATGATGTGATGATGATGATGATGATGATGATGATGATGATGTTGATGATGATGATGATGATGATGATGATGATGATGGTGATGATGATGATGATGATGATGATGTTGATGATGATGATGATCAGGATCAGGATCAGGATCAGGATCAGGATCATGATCATGATCATGATGATGATCATGACGATTGTAAGTGTGGAGCAACGTCCGGGTTGGGGCGAAGATGTTTTAAGTGCTTGCATTCTTCTGCCAGTAGATCACCCACATGCCCGTCTTTAGCCACTGAGGCTTCTGTTGCTCAATTCTATGCAGATGCTGCAACAATTGTCCAGAAGCATTTGCATCCAGAAGCAATTCTTGCACCTTTGCTCAAAAAAAGGTTGCCTCTTCTTGCTTTTTGGCTCACATGTTCATAAATGTTCATAATTACCAGATGCCACGTTCTTTCTGAACGGCACGCAAGGGAATGCATGGCTTTTGAGAGCATACTTAGGTCCTGGACACATGCTGGGACATGGAACGTTGGACGATGGAAGCTTTGCGAGATGCACTTGGTCGGCATGCAGACGATGGGGGGTCAGCAAATTCTGGACCATGACCATCATGAAACCTATTGTGAACGTTGAGCATTTCATGCAGTGTTTGCAGCGAGGTTCCTGGAAACATTTGGCTGGATTACCACCACTATCAATGCATGGGTAACGAAGCTGGCAACGTGCAAGAGCATTGCCAGGCCTTTGTGCAAGTTGACTTGGTACCACTTGAGTGTCAGTCACAGTTGAATTGCTCTCCGGCAGTCCTCATGGCAACAAGTCCGTTAAAGGTAAGTCGGAACACACATGAAATGATTGAAATATTATTGAAATAGGAGACATCCACAAACAGTAGAGAATTGATGGGAATTGTAGTCATGTGAGATCACCAGCTTGTATTTGGTATTTGAAAATCAAGACTTGGAGGCCGTCGAATTTGAAGGGCTGCTGACGGAAAAGATGCAGTCTCTTCCCGTGTATCTCGGCAGTGTTGGTACAATTGTTGGATCAGCATTTAATATATTCAATTAACCCATATCAACCCCTTCCCCCTAACATAAGATGCGAATATAAGATAATATAAGATGCCCTTAGAAACCCATAGTTTTAGAGTTTGGTACTAGCCTTATTCATTTTCGGGGCCGGTTACCGGAGGTGCAGATCTGTAAATGTCATTAAATGTCTGGCTGTAGGGCCAAACGGTGGAAGCCCCAGCCAAATAGAGCCAACCCCCAATAGGTAGAAAAGTTGGAAACTTGATGAAACTTGAATGTTTTATGGCCAAAACATGCTGAACCATCAGAAATATATAGAAATATCATACCATCCTGGAAAGCCGTTCCTATCTTTTTTGGGACCCCTTTTTAATCATCAGTTGTCAAAAGACGCCTCGCTCTCCTCAGGATCATCGGCGAGTTCTCCTTGGCCTTGCCGCCGAGTGCTGAGGGCTATGGAGATGGCACTGCTTGGCCCAAACAGTTTTTCCAACGACAGGCCAGCCTTGCTGAGAAACACGTAGCACAGCTGCAGCAGCTGCATTATGCTGCGTTGCTCAAACATGGTGTCATTTTATGTCCGGTTATCATGTATGTAATATACGTATATATATATACATATACTAATAATTGTTAACGAGATTTAATGAGCGTGTACTTCATTTAATGATGATAATGATGCATTCATACCTGCTAGATGATCTGGCCATATCCAGCGATTGTGTCTTTTAAAGGCAATATTACCTGGGATGATGAGATCATATTGGCGTTCATATGATTCGTAGATCTCAATATCTTTTGGGCTTGTTTGGAAGGACCAGTCTTTCCTTTTGTTTCTGTAATTAATTCCTGGGCCCAGTGGTCACCAACGATCCGATTCTTCTTGGGGTCCACTTGGACCTCTGAGGCATCGGCATGGTTCTTCTGGAATTACAAAATCGCACGTGAAGGATGGCCGCATTGGAGCAACTTGGTACAGAACATTCACGGCACCAGCGAATAGATTCTTACTGATTCAGACGGATTCGCTGGTTGAAGAATTGTTGAGTGTGTTTTGGTCCACTGATTTGTATTGCTGCATCGTGTATCGCGCTTGTACTCCGATTTGTGTTGTTTGCACCCCCTTTGTGGTCCGGAAGATGAAGATGATGTGCACTTGTTGTCTCTCAGGCTACCGGGAGTCAGTCGAGCGCGGCTGGATAGAGCCAAAGCTGTTTGGAACGCTCGGCTACAGCTAAGCAAGACCTTAGCAAGTGCATAGCCCGATGACCCACGCAGACAGCACCCTCCCTGTCGTCGCCAACATGCAAGTTTACAACGCAAGAGGCTGAATGTTGAGGTTGCCAGCACCAGATGCCACATTTCTGAGCATCTCTGATCATTTCTTCCCAAACTATGCGGAAAAAATATGAAAAAATGCTACAGCTTCTTGCATGCTTGGCAATGGGACCTTTTGCCCTTGAGCTGTGCCTGTCGGCGCGGCCTATGTGGCACTGGAACCACGAAGGGATAGATTCTGTAAGTGGTGCTGGAGCGGTGATCTTCGGAGTAGCGAGGAAATAGGGCTTCTGTGCTACCATAATGTGTGAGATGATAGGAAGCGGACAGTATATATGGCGTTTTGTATTGTTTTGTTATTATGTAATATGTCGTGTTATTTGATGTTATTTAATTATTTGTTAGTGTGTACGATATCAGTTTCCAAAACTTTCTGAGAATCCCTCCTCCTATTGTCTTTTGCTTGTCAAATGCCCTATGAGTTCGGCGAAGCCCACATCAAGGGTGTGTAGCCAGGCAGCAGCCAGAATCATCCAGAATCAATAGTCATACTTCGAGTGGCCTTTGCCACGTGAATAATTCGCTAGAGACCCTTGCACCCGCAAAGACGCCCAGAAATTGCTGAGGCAAAAGAGAACTTTCCCATAACTTTCCCCGTGTTTGATTGAACACTTACCATCACTTACCCAGATTTGAACTAGTGCGTTAATAATGTTGATGCAGTGCGGCTCATGCAGAATGTTTGATTTGGGCGGCTTGTCGCAAACCAATCCTTGGGGCACAAGCTAGCAGACACCTTTTCTGTTTCTGTTGAAGTTGCAGCTGAGTTGCTGTTCATTCTACAAAATGCTGCAGAGAGGGGTTTGGCCAGGTTCAATGCAAACACCTTCATTAACTTCTTTGGTCCAGCTTATCCCTCCCGTGCAATTCTACTGTGATTCAAGCCAGCCCCAATAGCCGGTGCCCTCAATTGCATTTGAAAGCCACAGCAGCTGGTTATCGTGCACGTTTGGAATTCCTTGAAAAGGGATCGTTGTACAGGTTTTGTTGCATTGTGCAGCAGCCATCTCGTTTGTTTAAGCTGGCATCGTTGCACATGTCCAGCCGTAGGCTGAATCTAGCTGTTCGCACGACAAGCGCATCATGCGCTCCAGCCTTGTCTTTCCCCTTGAACAACGTTGAAGGCAACGCAGGTTGAGTTGAGACTAAGAGACTAAGACAGGATAGACAACGCTGCTTTCCGTAGCAGGACTTGACACGTGCCCAGTGTCGTGAGATCGTCAGCTCACAGCTGAAAAATATCTAAGCATTTACGGCTAGGCTTTCGGTCAGACACTGGCTAAGTGTCAATAGACCGCAAATGAAAGTCCAGCACCGTCCCCATCGCGAGCGTACATGCGAAACGGATGCAGTGGTTCATCCAGGTTGTTCTATTTTGTAGTGCCAATCAGACAAATGCATGTAGCTTTGCAGTGCCTGGTGGCTGAGCGTTTCGCATGGGCAAATGGGGCAACTGTCATCAAGCTGTGCCTACTGGCATGCTGATGCCATGAAATCTCCTCCGAAGGGGTTCTGTAAATGGTGCTTTCAGTTGTGGTGTGGTCTTCGAAGCGCTCCGATCTTAGAAAGTTCTCCTGTGTTCTGCTTCGTGCGTTTGGTGCCACAAGTTGATCAAGCAAATTTTCAGGGGTCCTGCATGTGCAAGCTATGCAAGCAGTGTGTTTTCCTCGTCCTTGTCTTCGGTGTACTTTTCTTCCTGTTCCTCCTCCTATTTCTCATTCTCTTTGTTTGCTTCGGCCTAGGCCTCCTTTTCCCAAAAATGGCGCTTGGGGGGCTCCTGTGGGTCTCTCTTTTCAGCACACATGCTTTACCTAGGTGAAACAAAGAGGCAGGATTGACATCCTGAGTTGAGGACGTTCTTAACCACTCCACCACTGCCAAGACTCTAAAGCTATGTCCATCAGTGGCCAAAAAGTTTTCTTTGGCATTTGGCACGTGGAATTAGCTCCACCACCTGCAACTTTGCCGTACAATCCAGGAATTGCTGAAGTGATTTTTCCAGATTCCATCAGATATCCAAATGCCAAATCAAATGCCCACATGGCAGTACTTTCTTGAGAAGGTGTGGGCGGCTCGCCGCAGATAAATGGGGCATGAGCTTGCAGACACCTGACCCATTGAGGCAATAAGTCAAAGGCCAAATCAACCAGGAAGACAGGAAGACCTTTGTTTTTTGCTTCGCTCCAAGCTCTGACCGACCTACCAGATCTACCAGCAGTTGGCTATCGTGCGCGTTTTGAATTCCCTGAAAAGGGATCGTTGTACAGTTTTTGTTGCATTGTGCAGCAGCCATCTCATTTGTTTAAGCTGGCATCGTTGCACATGTCCAGCCGTAGGCTGAATCTAGCTGTTCGCACAACAAGCGCATCATGCGCTCCAGCCTTGTCTTTCCCCTTGAACAACGTTGAAGGCAACGCAGGTTGAGTTGAGACTAAGAGACTAAGACAGGATAGACAACGCTGCTTTCCGTAGCAGGACTTGACACGTGCCCAGTGTCGTGCGATCGTCAGCTCACAGCTGAAAATATCTAAGCATGCACGGCTAGGCTTTCGGTCAGACACTGACTCCGCTGAAAAGATTGCAAACAGAACAGTTTGCCCGGGCGTGAGGTTTTCTTTATATACAGAAATCAGTAATCCTATGTAATTCTAGAAGCCGTTCCCGGAGTGGTAGTTCGCTATGTTCCAGTGAGCAGCTGCTGTACAGGGCGTGCTGCAAGACAAGCAAGCAGAGTGCGGACCTCAAAAACCTGCAATCCTTCGCTGGTGGTACCTGGCTCCTCGCATGCTGAGGCTCGCAGACGTTGTTGCAACTCTGTGCACCTTTGATATCACGGAGATCGCTTGCGCCTCACTCCTTTATGCGGGTTTGCAAAAGAGTGGTATAGTTGTTAAACTATTGTAACTATATACTGCTTGGTATTGGTGTCAACTAACTAGCTGGGGGCAGACATATCGAGTCTTAGGGATCGTTTCAGTAGTCACTTAACTCGTTGATTTGCAGATATCGTTGCAAAACATGCGAAGAACCAGATGCCAAGGCCCAGGTTTGGTGGACAGACGTGAGCACCTTCAAGAAGGCAAAATGGGAAACAATGGGAGGAAAACAAATGTGACAAGGTGCAAAGGTACCACTAATTCTGGAGGGATGGTTAGTTTTCTGTTTTTTCGGGGGTTGCTATCTATGTATTGCTAGTATTATCTAATATTATCTAGTATTACACATGCTTTGCAATTAAATCCCTGGCCAATTGCTGGAGGAGAACTTGAAAGCTGAAGATGCTCGCGTAAAAAGGCTGGAGACCTTCGCCACTTTACTGTGCGCATCAGCCTGCACGTCCACTGCACAGCCGTTGCAGTTTGGTCAAGCGACTCCTGGTGGAGGATGAGGACCCCGTAGTAGGCGCTTGGGCCATTGGGCACGGTATGTTCATAATTGTGCCGATCGAGATGACATTCGCAGCCAGGCCTGGTGGCGCACTCAATCCTCTTCAAACGGATGATGCAACTTTTTTGGCCCAAAGATCGGCTACGACAGGAGCCCGGTTGAAAAAGATATATACAAAGATGCCCCATGTCCATGTGGGTGTGTCATGGTGTGCCCGAAATTGGGCTGTACCTTCCAGATGGATCCAAATGGCAATTTCTTGGGGAAATTATGAGAATTCATTGAAGTTGGGGATGCTCCATTTTCAGTCCCGCGTGGGCCAAAAGCAAGACATTTTTTGACAGGAGGAAATTCGGACGGCACTGCGGAATGGGGCAGCGCAAGACACAGTGGATCCTTACGAAGACAAGGTGCTCTGTCTTGGAATTTGTAATCCACGAGATATAGTCAAGACTAAAGCAGATCAAAAGACGTTATATATATATTATATAACTATACCTTATGGTGTATCGGTATGCATTTTTTTAGACTACTAGTACATGCTGGTATCAGATGCTAGCCTTTATTTGACCAGGTGATGAACTGTGGCACCCTGGTTCTGACCTTCCGGTACCACTCTGGAGGTGTGGAGCCGTTTGATCAGCTGGAACAACCACTGAGCTTCTGGTTATATTTGGTTATCAAATTATTACTTGATGCCTGAGAAAGGACATGACACCTAAGATGCCTAAGATGTCCCGTATAAACAGCAGAGCAGGTGCCGAGATCGTGAAAGCAGTCTTCCTATTTGATGGCCACATGGAGTCTGCTTTAGCCTGCGATCGTCAAACCCAGGAAGGGACTGGGACTGGGACTGGGACTGAACTGCATCTCAATACCTGGGGTATGCTGCAAATTGATATTCTTTGCGAGAGACCTGGTGGCAAGGACCCTGATGATGTTGACATCCAAGAGGACAATGATCCTTCTCCTCATTCACCACATTCACCTGAATTGCTTTGATGGACCCAACCTGGTCAAAGATCAGAACCTTCACTCGTCACAGTGATTCGTGCGGAAAATGACACGTGGCATCGCTGGTTTTTATATTGCTGAACGCACCGATCTGAATATTCATGGCGCTGACATGATAGACATTGATGATACGATTTTGATTCTAATAAAGTACTCTAATTAAAACAAAAAATGCAAAAAATACATTGAACATGAGACGTATTTTGTGATTATACGAATATATGGCATAATTGTTCTGAAGCATCGTACGATTGAAAATGAAGGGAAATCTGTAGGTCGTCCAGAACAAAAATTATATATATATATAATCAATAGAATATATGATATCATATAATATCATATAATCAATATACCCCCATTGACCGCCTCTGGAGGTGAGAGGATGGGAAATACAATATGAAAAGAATTCGGCATCAATTTGATCTGAAACATTGATAATAACCAATATTATATATTTTTTTATACAAGGACGATATATATCCAACACCCACGGACCCCCTTTGGACTATCCTGTCCAACAAAACAAATAAATCATAAATTCAAAATAATTCCTATATTTCAATAATTATTTATTTACATTATATATTTTATTTATTTATATAAAATGTTTAATAAAATTATAATTTCACAGACTTCCGAAACCATTAACCCAAACCACTACATAAATTTAATTAGAATATAATATTTGAATATATATATATATTAAAATTTATAATAATTTTCTATTATATAATAAAAGATGTTTTGTAAGGATATATATAAATAAAAATTTAATGAATTAAAATTCCGTAAAATATAATATATATTATATATATAAATAAAATATGAATATAATATATATAAATATAATTTTTATATATAATTAAATAATTAGATTAAATTTATTAATTAAAAAATAATATTTTTATGTTTGATAAAAATATATTTTAGAAATTTGAAATATTATTCTGAATTTTATTTTACGAAATAGAGAAAAAAATAATTATTTTAATTATTTATTTATTTTATATATTAATTTATTATATATAAATTATATATTGATATTTTATTATTTTTGGGGAAAATTTTAATTTTTTGTTTTTTTTTTTTTTTTTTTTTTTTTTTTTATTTTTTTTTTTTTTTTTTTTTTTTTTTTTTTTTTTTTTTTTTTTTTTTTTTTGGGAATTTTAATTTCGCTTTTTTGTTTTTTTTAATTAATGCACTATTAAATAAATATAATATGGTCGATGAGGAATTTAATTTCCTCCTGATTTATTGTCGCTCTTAAAAATTATAAAAAAAAAAAATACATTCTAAATTTCGCGTTTCCCGAGAACAATTATATCCAAATATTTAATACATTTAGGATGTTTTATGGCGAAATTATTGTTTTTTAAAATTCTACCGTAATTTTAAAATATTTCTTCCTATATAAATATCAAAAATTTACTATTTGTTTTTTAGTATTTTTTAAATTCATTATAAGATATAAAAAATATATATCAAATTTTAACGAATATAATATCAAAATATTATATTCACAAATACTTCAAATTTTCTAGTTATAAATACGACTATAAATTTAATAATATTAATTTTACATTAAAATTCGCTAATATAAATTCACCAAAATAATAAAATAAATTTATATAATATTATATTTTTTAAAATTTAATTAAATATGTTTTTTTATAAAATATTTATATTAATTAATTTAATTATTATATAATAATTTATTTTTAATATATAATAAATTACTTATTATATTTGTTTTTATAATAATTAAATTATAAATTAATGTTTTTTTTTCTAAATTTTAATTAATATATATTAGTAGGAATATACAAGAATTTAGTAAACAAAATTATGCAATATTACACATAAATTTATATTATTAAATTATAACCTCAAAAAATTATATAAAAATATAAAAAAAAATTAATATATATTAAGATATCCTAGGGTTTAAGGAATTAAGTATTACATCTATTTACATTTTAATTTTTTCTCCATGATTAAAAAACAAGCAGTCAGGAACACATATGTAAAAATATGGGTATGAAAAAAAAAATTAGCGCAAACCTAGCGGATTTGCTAGCGCTGCCTTGCAGAATTGGTGCATTTAGTTGTGTGCTCCCTGATAACGAAGAGGAAAAACCACCGAGTCCACACTAATCACTAACAACTGGTGCAATTTTTATGTCAACAATGTTTGGCAGATGGTCGAATAAGTTCGTATCGATTCGTGAGAATTTCAGCCGCAAGTCACCTCATATAATCAAAGTATATCAAAGTAATCATTTCCAGCATCCTTTTTTTCATGGAATTGAGATATGGACAGTGGCGACTCTGACTTTTCAGTCAATTGCGCCTTGAGTACCAGTCTCGCAATTATGCGAAGACCGACAGCTGCAGAGGGCAGAATCCTTAGTTGGCGCCAGCAAAATGTCTGCATCCACTGTCCACAACTTACTTCAGGCATCTACAGGCTGCATTGGATACGGTACAAGGACTAAGGGTGTTTATCAGTGTTCGATTTGGAACAAGTTTGTCTTTCGCACCTAAATTTCCTGCCCAATGCATCGGAAGTGGTTCCCTTGTGCAGCTGATTGGCTTTCCATGCAGCTGCAAACAGAGTTTCCATTGTGTCCTGCAAGCATCCCAAGGCGGGTTTCACAAAAATGCTCAACCCAGCACTCTTCTCTGAATATAATTCACATTAAATCACTTAACTCTGGTCCTTTCTCAGCCTGCTAAAACCTGCCGAAGTGCAAACAATACTGGAGTGTTCAACAAGTTGGCAAATCACGGGATGTGACATGTGGCAATCCCACAACCTGCTGGCCCTTCTGCTTTAAAACATGACAGGGTGGCAGCAGTAAAGGCTAGAGGCAAAAAGCGATCTCGCAACCTCAAGCTCTTATTGTAGTTATTCGATGGTTGATTTTGATTGATGTGCTCAAGATGCTCGGAATAGATCGTGATCCATCAATCTCCAAGACTAGAGATGAAAAATCAAAAAGCTACGGGTGAAAGGAGGCAACAAACACATGTGTCAGATCACGTGTCTAGTAATAGACCTGGATGAGCATGGTTGCTCTGAAAGTATAGGATTCACAGAGTCTGCGAATAGCGACTGAGGAATGGGCTCACCCTTTTCGGTCTTACCCTGTAGCTGTTTCACCTGAAGTTGCCCATGTTTTTCTTAAGCAACTGGTGCTGTGATTAGCCGCCTTAGGCGCCAAAACATGTCGGCTCCGCAGCACATAGGGGTAGAGTTCAAACTTCCGTGCTGTGCCTCTCAGCAAAGATTTCAAAGTGATTAGTCCACTGGTCACGCTCCAAATAGTTTCAAGTCTCCACAAATATTCTGCATCCTGGTTAGTGTCGTAAAAACCCAACAATAAACCAGCCCCAAATTACCAGAATTTGATGGGATAAGCCTTCCCAAACTTGAGGTTTGTCGGGTTTACCACATTCGAATTATATACTGCTTCCAGAAGTCTTTTTCAACGCCTCCTCGTCCTGGTTTCAGCACCTTCGACAGGGGAACGAAATGCTGCGAAATGCTTCAAATCGGGAACCCGCAATTTAGATATCCAGTAGGTCAGTAGGTGTCTCATATTTTGGACCCCCACCTCCCAACAAAAAAAATGGTGATCAATGTTGATCATCGTTTCATCGGTATCCCCTAAAAGCGGTTGAAAAATCACCCCTGTTCTACTTGGACAGCGGTGATTTCACCTCCATCGCGTGCATGAAGGCAATCCCAAGCACAAAGGAGCCAACGAGTCGAGCGTCCTGGGGAGATCCAGGATCTCAGCGGAAGTGCTTGAACCGCCAGAACCACCAGTGATTAAAAAAAACATATACATATTGCTATTTATATAGATATATACATACAATATTCAATATTATTCAATAAACCAAGCAAAAAATGAATATATATATATATATACATAATACATGCTGCTAGGCCCCCTCCAAAACCTACATTTTGACACACTTTGCTGTGATGAGTACTCCAGCATATATAATATATGTACATATATAGCCCCCCTGAAACATACCTTTTTTACATATTCATCACATGGTTGGGTCAAAAGAGGGTTACCTTACATACAGGCCTATTTTGAGGAAATTTTGGCAATAGTTTCAAGAGGGGGTGCTGTATATGTATATATAGTGGTGTAGTAAGCAATTTAGGCTGAGTTATATAACTTAACTTCAATGATAGCATTTTGGGAAGAATGCATTCGGAATGCATTCCCTGCTAAATCTAAGATCTAAGATCTCAGATTCCCCAGGACTCCTGAGGAAATCTTAGATTTTCCTGACCAACATCTTAGATCTAAGATCTTTCCCGCAACGCTCCTGAGCAAATCTTAGATCTTAGATCTTAGATTGGGGGAAGAATGCATTCTGAACGCATTCCTCTGGAAATGCATCCATCTTGGGTTTCCCTTAAGTAGATGGGATTGATTTAACTACCATGAAAGAGTTTCACCTTTGGGTCTTTTCCCCAAGCCTGGAAAAAATCATGAACACACTGTGAATTATTTGTAAGGATGAACAAAATAGCATTTTTCCCTTGAAGAAAAAACGAACTGACAAGAGCAGACTTTCAAAGTACCACTGCATCTATTGAGGTGTTCTATGCCAAAGCAATGTTGCATTTTTTTGAAGGAATGCCCCACCATGTTTAAGGAATGTATCACTCTTGTCAATGGAACATTGCAAAAAAAAGTACTGTAATGCTACACTACGACTCTTTTCGAAATATATTACTGTTTCCAGTGAATACTGCATAGACTAAGAGAGTTTTCTTATTCAAGTAACTCTGTGCCCTTTCAAGTCACTTTTCTTCAGAAGGGGCACTGTCAATCTCACTCAGGTAGCATTTGTGAGTTTTTTGTTTAAGCAGAGACGGCTCACATCTGTTCATTTCAAGTATACACAATTACTGTCAAAAAATGAGTGCATACTGACTCTAGCAAGCACCATGTAGGAGTACTTGTGCCACATCTGCATTTTCTTTTAAACATCCAACTTGTTTTGCAACAAATATAGTGTCACTTAGAAAAAAACATGTATGTTCTTCAAAGTAATGGCTACAATTCTGAAGCTAGTCTTGATTTATTTGAAGAGATACTGCGTTTGATTGAAAGATGCCTTGTATGTTGCAGGGACTTTTTGTGCAACGTGCTTCTTCCTTCCAGAAGTATTGTACCTAGTACGTTATGAAATGGGTCTGTGCTCATGTTTTGAATTAAGGAATGCATATTTACATGTTGGGGAAAAAACACTACCGGATCGAAATGAAGAGATATGTTTTCAAGAGAAGTGGTTTTCTGCAAAGGAATGCTACCTATTGAAAAGGAATACTCTTTTCGCTTAAGGAATGATACACCCTTTGAATGAAAGTGTCTGTTTGTAAAGCCTGCTCTTGTCAATTAGAATTGGTTCTTCAAGAGAAGGGGGCATGTTTGATCGTCTCTTGTAGTCATTTATATACAGTGTTTTCACTGCCTTTTTCAGGTTTGGGGAAAAGACCCAAAGTTGAATGGTTGTTTTTTCATGTGGGTTGAATCACTAGCAGAGAGGTGGAGGTACTAGGAGGTGCTAGGAGGTACGTAAATTATACTTTAAACATAGTTTGGAAGGGGTAAGAACCAAGAGGTCCTAGGACCTCCCAAGACCCACACATCCAAAGTATTGAGCCACTGCAGTAGTACAACAAGAGACAGAAGATACAGTATATAGTAAGGAAAAAGAGGCCAAAGACAGATCTACCATATTTATCAATATTGATCATGAAATAATATGTCTGCAAGGTCTGAAAGTGTACAAAATCCAAAATTCATGTGTCACAAGAAGGAACAAAAACAGTGTAAAAACCAATGTGTAAAGCTTAAAATTGACATTTGGCCACAGCGCCGTGGGCATTCTGTCAATGTTTGAATTGAAACTCCTTGTTGGGACCTCCATACGGTAGCCGAAAACGCTGCAAATACCATCAAAATATGTCATTGTATCTACACATGAAGCATCATAACTCATCACACTCAAGCATCCAAAGTCTTCAAATGAATGAAGGAATGCTGGTTGTTTTTAAAGGCAAAAACAAACAAAAACACTGTAAAACACAATAAGAAATCAAAACCGGTAGGTTTCAAGGGTGGAGTTACCATATTATATGTATATATATATGTGAATATGAAGCAGCAAATGGGATCTATTTTGCTTGGTAATGCGGTAAACCCTTGTAAATCCATGTAAATCCTATCGTCAAGCCCCAATTGGTGTTAGTTTGCGCCACCCATTTCCGGTGAAGAGTGCGATGGTTTATGATTGCGTTTGCTACCCTCTGGTAAACTAACATATCTATGGAAAATCACCATTTTTAATGGACAAATCCACTATAAATGGCCATTTTCAATAGCTATGTTAGTTTACCAGAGGGTACATCTGGATGATCTACAGTAGATATATTTAGATATGATATCCATGGTTGTTTGAATTTTTGCAAGGTGTGACCTACAAAGTCAAAGCTGGGAACCTGGAAAACGCCATCCATCCCAGAAGGAGTTGGCCTGGCTGCACTGTCACTGGCTGCACTGGCCGCACAGCTATGAAGCTATGAGGTTATGCCAAACTGGCAGGGATGACGCAAACTCATCCTCCTGAACCTCACTTGCCCTGCCACACATAAAGTTGCAAAACAGAAAACCCAACTTCAGTTGATTCACTTTTTGTTCATAAAATGGCAAGGTCATATTGAGCGCCACTCGATTTTTGCCCCAGAATTCCACCTGCAAAGGTTTTCCGTTGGATCTGGGTCTTCTTTTGGTGCTGGCTCAGAACCTCACTGCTTGCAGAAGAGGGATTTCACTTGCCCTGATTTCAGAGACGTGTCAGAAGTCAGCACACACTTGGACAGGGAACGGAATGAGGAAGCGGTATGAAGCTGACCTGAGCAAAAGCGGTACAGTCCTTCAAAGTGCAACCAGTGCAGGAGTCAAAAATCACACATCTGCAATAGTGACACATGTTCTTCATGTTCTGCATTTTGACTTGTATATATAATCAATATTCATAATTATATATATATATATGTATATATATATATTATGTATACAGTGTGTGTATGTATGTATATATATATATAGATATTACGGACCATTCAGCATTGAATCATCACGCTGTGCACACAGCGCACCTCTTAGCATGGTGTCACTGTCCTCATCTTTGTCCTCTCAAATATATGTAGTTCAACGATTCTTGCAATATCGCAACTGGATTCCGTGATTGGAGACAGGACAAAGATGAGGACAGTGACAACATGCTAAGAGGTGCACTGTGTGTACAGCGTGATGATTCAATGCTGAATGGTCCCGTGGAAAGCCATTAGGACAGAAAAGAAGGTTTGAGCAGCATGTCTCTTTGCGCATGTGGATGAACAGAGTATGCCAAGGCAGCGACTGAGTATGAACATGATCAGCAAATGCATCGAGATAGAGCGTAGGCGAGCCATCTGCGCAATGGAAAAGGTCCGCGAAAACATCCGGGTTTGGGGGGGGCAATCTTCGAGATAAATCAGTGGAATCAATTGAAGTCAAATCTTCTGACTGGAATCTATCAATGGGCCCCTAGCAGTCAATAACGGGATTGTCGATACCATTCACCATTAAAAAGGGTTGTCAAATGTTGTCAATATACCTTCTAATTGAAAGGGTGTTATAAACCTCCTTTTGTTTACTGACATGGGCCTATCATTTATCCGAATACAGACTTTACAAAAACAGATGCTTTGAATTGCTTTGATACATTTTGATACATTTTGATACATGTTGATACATTTTGATACATGTTGATACATTTGATACCAACCATCTCCAACAACAAACGACCTAAATGTGAGTCAACAATCAGCACCCGTCAATCGCCACCTCTGAGGCTTGCGTGCCCGTGAGTCTTCGGGCACAGGCCGATGCCTTGCACTGAGAACGGGGGTCCCAATAAACCAGCTAGCATAAGCCACAAAATCAACAAGGATCAGCTGGTCACTACTCATGTTGGATAATTACTACAGTAGCGATTGGATAGCTTGATATGATCGTCTCGAGAGTGTCATTGTGTAATCCGATTGCTATTGATATCCCCACAGCAAATTTAGGCACTCATGTGACATTCAGATGTCCAGACATGTCCAGACTCAGACTTTGGGAAACGCCAAGAACATCCAAGAACAAGTAAAATACCTGATGTATCCCTGATGTATCCTGATGTGCTGTTTGATTGCTGGAAAATTGATGGTTGCCATTTTTGGGTGTCCTCAGCATTTTTCCGAGACGGCTGAAGCAGCCAGAAAATCGACGTGGAAAACTCAGCACGCCACGTGCAAGGGTTGTTGCACCCACACCGACCACTGAGACTAGATGCTGCAAATGATGGCTCAGTTGGTTGATAGGTTTCCCTATGGCTAATCCCCAATAACCCAAGTAGATACTGGTTTGAATTAGGGGGAGGGGTTGGACCCCCCTCTGCGTAGTTACAAATCACTAGGGACCAACCCTAGTGTCTACAAAAAGCAATCACCTGCAAAAATATTGGGACTACAAAAAGCTAGTGCCAACTCTAGGCACCATGCCAAGAACCGAGCTAAATCAGCTCTACAAGAAGGTTGCTCAACCCACATAGATCCCACATAGTTAACTTAAAAGCACCATCAATCATCCAGCTGGATTTTTCATGATTTTTCCCTATCCTTTTTGTAGATGATTCTGTGCTCTCAGGAGGTTGGGTCCCTTGGGCATTGTGTAGAGAAAGAAGGCTTTAATGTATAAATCCTTACAAGTTGCATATTGGCAGCGGGTTCACAATAATTACAGGTTACGCACTAGCACCATGTTCAATTACAGCTTAGGTAGTGGCAGCAGGTTCAATTGCAGGTATATTGACAATGGGCTCAAAATAATTACAGGTTACGCACTGGCAGCGTGTTCACCCACTACAAAGTGCTGGCACCAAGTTGATCCTCTACAAAAAAGGCCCATGGGTGCTTTCTCCCAATTTTCACCCCTGGGGGAAGCCCTTCCTGAGCCACTGCCCCACATTACAAACCTCAAACCCAAGGATTTCATCTTGCACATCCTTTACTTTCAGTGAATGCCATTTTACAAGGTTTGCAAAAAGAGCCGCAGCGTCGCAGGTTCCTTTTGCAAAAAGTCGGTTAACCCATTTGAAGAAGATTACAAAAACCTTGGCACAAGTGCTTTGTTTTTCTAAAAAACGACCCTACCTGGCGGTTTGTAGCGTAGCCCAAGTCCTCCCCTTTCTGTAGGTGTTTTCCTATCCCCGATCAAAAAACTACATGCAAACACTCTATAAAATGACCCCTCTATAAAATGAGTTCCCAGGTCTTCAGCACTCTGACATGGCTGCTCAAGCCTCAAAATGAAGTCCTCTACAAAAAGCTGATTGCATTTTTACATTACCGAAAAACTGCTCCAAAATGACCTCTCTACAAAAAGCTAGTGCATCCAACATGATTTATACATACCACTATTTGTCTACAATGACTGGGGAACCAACCCCATTTTTTCTCTATAAAACAGCTAGTTGTTTCAGCTTTATACGGGACCCAAGCCCCCTCAAAACGCAGAGGAAATCTAAACGGGGATCCAAGTAGTATAACTCCCTATAATGACCCATCAACTAGGGATAACATAGGATAACTAAGCTATTTTTTATGGCTCAGATGGGTCACAGATGGGTCAGATGGATGTGTCTCAAAATGGGATACACGGGGGACGTCATGGAGAGACCAATCCCAATTTATTGGGAGACGTCATGGGGATATTTCATCTAATTCACATTATGTCCGAAAACAGAGGACACCACAATTTGTGGCCAATAAACATCAATAAACAATGGTTTAGGGTTCCTTGTTTTTGAGACAACGCAAGATGTTGCACACCTCAAACCGAGCAGCAGTGTTTGAACAGCTCTAAGTCACAGCCCCTTTTCTGGACCGTCTGTGCGTAGCTGCGCTCATTGCTGATACCACTTTGAGTGGAACAGTCAAATCATGGAGTCTGATGACAATATTCCCACTGAGAGCCAGCTGTCTAAGGGGTGGTGCGACCTGCGATTTTGAAGGATCCACACTCTACAGACTCCACTGATATGCTTCCCCTGGCGTCAGGATTTCATCTGAGACTGGGTTCGCTATGAATGATCAAGCTCCTTTCATTATTGTTGTGATCGTCGCCAGGGCAAGAAAGACCAAGGATGCACAAGTCCAGCATTGGCCTTGCTTGCAACGTGGAAAGATGTGCAAAAATGGCGGAACCCACAATTTCTGGCAATTTAATTGGAAGAATGAATGAAAATGATGGTGAACCAGTAGATTTACGGGCGTTCTAGTTTCAATCAAATGACGAATCCAAGTGGAAAAAATATGGTCCTCTTCCACTTTGAGCTTCTTGAGCTACAAGCTGGACTTGCTGAGAGGTGGACAGCAACAGAACTGATGCAAACCACAGTTGCAAACCTCAGCACGTCCCATGCCATCCATGCCAAAAAAGAGTACCTGACCAAGTGGTGTTGAACGTGCCGGAATCGCGTTCTCTAAGGCTCATGCACAGCAGGCAATCCAAACACTTGCGACCCACAAAGTGATGAGCGCAGCCTCAAGTCCAGTAGGAGCACCACGGGACGAGGAGTTTAGAGTTGGAATGCCTATAGCACCAAGCCAAGCCAAGCCAAGCCAAACACAGGACCCAAACATGATAAACATATATGTACGATGCTTCAGACAGGACATGTTTTGAGTCTAGAGTGTGTTTGCATCTATGCAGAGATTGTGATCGATTGCTGAAGCTGGTGACCCATTCCGCATAGCCAGCACCCATAGAGAGCCGGTAGTCAAAGGTGATGACCTTGATCCAAGATGAGTTACATCGGTGTGGTCAAAACTATGGGAAGTCTTGAAACAAATCAGAACACGTCAAAACATACTTCTTCAATCCGCACTTTTTTGGGGGAGCTTCCGGCTGTTGCATCTGCCATCATCTGCCACCGGATCCTTTTTCTGAACGTTAAGGCAGCGGGAACAGCGACTGTGCTGCAGCGAACATCGGCATCACTCTACGTGGTCTACGGTCTACGCGGGCGGTGCAGCTTCCTGCTGTGGCGCCAACAGTGGCCTCTGAGCAGCTGTAGCCTGACACGTCCCGCTGAGCTCGTGGCTGGCATGCCGACCCCCACAATGGACAGTTTCTCCCCCATTTTATGACCATTGAATAATGAGAAAAAACAAAGTTTTACACACCTTTTAAGACATCTTAAAATCACGGGATAGGTGAAAAATCATCATAGTGACATAGTGTGACATCTTGGTTGCATCCGTTGCATCCTGGAATGTCATAGTCTTAATGTAATTAAAAGAACATGCACCGGTTGTATAGTTTATGATGTACTTTGTTTAACCCATACCACCCAACATTCATATACCCATTCAAATATCTAACATAATTTGACATTTATGGTTACGAGCACGGGTCAAAATCCATCAAAATAGCTTGATTTATGGATGTTCATCCACTCATGGTTTGACTCAGTTTTGCCCCATTCCCATATCCGTGAATCGGGTAAACCGTTCAACCAAATTTAAAACATAACAAAACATAATAAACCTCCTCTTTAGCTGAGGATTCATAGCACCCGTTTCGTGTTAAATTGGAGATGGTTGATTATTGGGTTTACAAGTGCCAGATTCTTCCAAGTATCCTCCATTATTCATCCATGATTGCTGGCTATAACATACGTAGATATTATTGCGATTAATCATGGTTTACAAATTCATCCAGGTATCCATTACATAATCCAAGATTCTTCATGGTTTCTAGCATGGTTATGCCAGTTATAACTGCCATGATTCACCAGCCCTTCACCATAGATGTCATTGTAGCTGGGATGGCCTCATGGTTCACAATGGCGGCCGCTTCCACATGTCTGGCTTCTTGCGCGATGGCGCAACAGGTACAACACGTCACGAAGACGCAGTCGCCACAGATCTAAGGGCTGACAGAGCTGTATGGTCCCAAAAATGGCGGAAACCATGGAAAAAAGGAGGGAAACTATAGGGAAGACTCGGGAAGACTGTAGGGAAAACAATGGGGAAAATTATGGGGAACATGGGAAAACCATGGAAAACCATAGAAAACTTGGGGATGCCCATACTCACCGAAAATGTTTGGAACTAAGAAGATTTTCGAAGGAACAGTAGTATCCCAAATCGATTCAACAGAACGATCAAATGCAGAAGACTGCAGCTAACACGATGCACCGGTCTGAATTTCTGCTCCAAGCTGCTGTGGTTGGTTCATTCGAGCCGGCCATGCCAAAGGCTACTCTCAACTTGTTGCCTGTGCCAGAGACTGGAACATCCTGGCGCCTTCTTACGGATGCGTGTGGAGTGGACTGATCCCTGCCCCCATATATTATATAAATACCAACAAGAGACTCAAAAATCCGCTTGCCTGCCGGCGTGTTTTGTGGATTTTCTGGTGATACCTCTTGTGATAGCTTTAGTTTCACCTATAGACCTATAGATTGCTCCTTCGACGGATGTTTGTTTTCTCAAGCGACCTTGCACTGACATTATTTACATCATCATCGGCTGTGTGGTCATAGTCATAATCATCATCATCATCATCAAATATCATCATCATCATCATCATCATCATCAAATATCATCATCATCATCACCATCATCACCATCATCGTCATCATCATCGTCATTTTCATCATCACCACCACCACCACCACCAACATCATCATCATCATCATCATTTTCTTCTTCTTCTTCTTCTTCTGGTCATTTCCTTCATCCTCCTACCTCCGCCCATGTCCCTCTTCTCTTTCGTTCCTCCGACGTTTTTCAAGGTTTTCTTCACGTTTTATGGACCGTTCTCGCCCCTGGGATGCGGCATTTCCACGTTTCCTCCATGGTTTCCTGCCCGTTCGAGGCAGAAGTACGTTCTAACCTGCCGCTTTTGCGCCCAACACTTTCCATAAGCACCTGCCCTCTCCACTCACGGCCTTCTCCGCATGCACTCTCACAGCCGTGCCGCTTGCACCTACCAACTTCACTCCTTTCTGTTCAATCTCCAAGGTCTGACACACACGCCAGTTTCTACACAAACCAACTTTTACACCAACCAACTTTTACACAGACCCGCTTTTACCCCAAGCACTTTTCGCAGAAAACCACTTTTACACCAACCAGCTTTTACACAAATCCGCTTTTACACAAACTCGCTTTTCCGGAAACCACCTTTTACACCAACCAGCTCTTACAGAAACGAGCTTTTACACACACACACTCACTAGCTTCTACGCAAACCAACTTTTTGACCAACCAGCTTTTACAAAAACCATGCTTTGCACCGACCGACTTTTACGAACCAGCTCTTACACAAATCAGCTTTGACACAAACCGTCTTTCAAACAAACCAACTTTTCGAGCAACCACCTTTTACGCAAACCACCTTTTACACCAAGCAGCTTTACACAACCCCTGCTTTGGGCCTGTAAGCCAAAGGCCAGAGGGCCGGCGGACTGCCGAAGGCTGTTAAATATGTACATCGATCAGTTTCTTAACTAGGATTTCTATTGATATTTGATGAGATTTGATATTCGGCGAAGGCGATTATACCATGACAACAGAGCAGTGTAGCATCTTGGGCCATCCCTGGGTCCCGGACGGTAGTATGTGAGCACACCAATCCAACCACACAAACAGCAGCCGCCCAAGGGAATCATCGCAAGGAGCTCGAACATCAGAAACAGAAGGAAGGCAGGCCAAAATGACAAAAGACCCACCATGTCCACATTTCCGGCCCATCGAACTCCGGGGCAACAAACTTGGATGGCACATCATCAGGTGAAGTGGGACACTTGAGGGTATGAATGGTTTGCACCCTATGCCAGGAACTGCACTCTGAAACTATGGGTCCACATTTGGAGGTTGCAAAGAATACTTGGAAGAATGTGAAGAATGGAAAATAAGTTTGGCTTGACAAGAATCCAAACGGACATTCAAATTTAGCAAGGATGGTTTCTCTTCTTTAGGCCAACATATTTGCCAAAAAAACGTTGACATATCTGCAGCTCTGGGACGTGTCCAACAGCAGGTGGTTGCATCTTGAAAGCAATCGAATGGTCCGGATGACCAGGAGGTGAGCTTCTCTTTTGCCATCAAAGTTTCATCCACTTCCGGCCATGGCACAAAGCGCCTGGGAGGAGGAACTTCGACCGTTTCCCAACAGCAGTTGATGGTCTCAGTTCTGGTGATTCTGGTGATTCTGGTGTGCCCAACACCTGGCTTTGTCCAAACATTTTCAGCAACCGCGCCTAAATAGAAGTGCGGCAACTGTCGTGATGCCAGCAAACAAGGCCATGTGCGACAGCACCTGGCCTGCGCCAGCTGCAGGTTGCTGGTTGCTTCCCTTCTTCACTCCCTTTTCTTTCTTGAAAAATGCGGGGTTAAAAACGGTTATAGTCATAGTAGGCAAAATAACATGTTTTTAATGGTGAAGCTTAGTAAACCATGAGATTTTTGGGGTATCCCTCAGCTAAAGCCACTCATCTGGTTTAGGATACCCTATCTATTTTGCTGGAGGAAATTGACAAATTTCGGTGCTTCTGAGGGTTCCTCTATGGATCATGCGACATACTTGGCTGTGAATATCATCCCAATATGGCGGAGTAAAATCGATCGTCCAAAATGATCAAAATGGATGGTTCAACATGACCAACAATTGGCCTTAGAAAGTTGACGGCATGATCCACAAACTATCAAACATTGACCAATTTACTTAAAAACTACCAATTCACTTAGAAATGATTGTCTATCTGAGTTTATCTACTTTTTTGTGGCTCCTGTCCCCATTTCAACCGCCTGGAGTGGGCCATCGAATCTGAATCTTGGTGATGGGGCCTGGAGCCTGGTGCCCACGTGGATGGCACATGCCATGGTTAGGGCATATGAGTATGGATACTTAATGGATTTTAAGGGTGCATTCATGGATGTTTAATGGATGTTTAATGGCATATGAATGATAAACAATGGATGTTTAATGGATGGTTACTGGGATATGATGGGATATGCATATGAATTGTCGATGGAATATGAATGGATTTTCGACAGATTATTGAAGATAAAGACTAATGCGATATCCGTCCTACGAGTACCCACCATCCTGATCTGTGGATATGAAATGATGAATGCGTGTCACCGTCACCAACTGCCAGAAGGTCTCCCTTTTGCTGCCGTCTCACACCGCCGCACCTGAAGGGCTTGTGTCAGAAACGATGGACTCAGCAATACTATGCCAATATCAGTGTGGTTCTCATCATTGGCTTTCACCTCGGAGGCAACATGGGTCCTCCAAGGGTTTGTGTCATCCAACATCCAACCGCAAAAGTTGGAAGTGTGAGGTTCCCGCATCGACACTTCGCAGTGTCTTCATCTCGGAGCCGGAGCAAAGAGAAAAGGTCAGCACAAGAAGGATTGCCTGCCATCGAGCTGTAACTTTAATTGAAGTATGTTGAAAACAATAAAAACGCATAAAACCACAATCATCGGGGATCGGTGATCATGGTGATCGGTCAATACAGTCAATAGCTATTGCACCGGTTATTTGGGCGTTGGAGCTCCAGCGAGCCAATTTCATGTTCACCAGGGGTAGTTCTTGTCCAATGGGATCCAAGCCTTGACTGTCCCCACCATTGCTCACGAAAACCTCCCCTGAAATAATAGTACCAGATGTTTGCGTAAGTCTTGAGCCAAGAAAGTCACAGACATGTCAAGAACTCTCGAGGAACTCTTGAAGAACTTTTGATGGATTCAATCTTCAATGGTATTTTGCTGCGATTTTAATGGACTTTGATGGATGCCAATAGCTCTGAAAACCTTCCTGTACCAAGATTCTGTGGCATTTTCCGAGCCATGTGCCCTCTGCGCTTTGCATGGGAGACCAACACTTGGATCACACATCCTGCAGCGCCCATAACACGAGCACCGCAGAAAAAAACGCCAACACTGAATGAACTGCAGTGTCCTTGCGCTGGAATCAGTGCCATTGCCTGGGGCTGCCTCGGGAGAGGAGCTCTACAGTTTTGGAGTCTCTTTCCGGTGCCGGACTCAGGCACAGACCGGGTCTTCTGGTGCTTGAAGCACCCCAGTTTGCGTGCTCACTAAAATGGCCTGGGCAAAAGTTGGGACAAGACAGACCACTCATTCTTGTCATTGTTGCTGTCGGCCAGCTTTCCATGTTCCTGTACCCCCGCCTTTGAATCACTCGGCACAATGTCTTTGTCTGGCGAAAATGGCACCTTCAGGATCTCCATGAGCTCTTCTACCTCAGTTGGAGCCAGGCGTTTCCAAAGCCTCACTGAATGGGAAAACGACTCACAAGCAGTTCCAGAAACGGGTATGTCTCAAAACAGGCAACCCCTAAATCCATCTAAATCCCCTAGTTGACCATTGATCATCATTGTCTAACAGCCATAAAAGAAGCAACCACATATGACCGCATCATATTGAGACAGACCAGGGTTATAGCAACTCCTCACATCATCCATTGCAAACCCTACTTCCGGGTACATCCAAGGTTTTTTTCAGTGGGTAATACATTCAAATAACCATATGAAATACATTCAAATACCCCCCTTAGATTAGTGGAATACCCCCCCGGTTATGTACCCTCCAGTAATCTAACATAGCAATTGAAATCACCCATGTTCAACAAGTAAGTCAGCTAATACATATATACATATATATATATACGAATATGTAATCATATATATATGTATATGTAATTATATGAGATATAGATATAGATATTAGATATAGATATAGATTTAGATATAAAATTCAGCTGTTTTTGCTATAGAAATGTTAAATGACCAGAGGCTATGGGTTTGTTAAAGAACCACATCTCCCATTGCGCTTGGCGCACCTGGCCCTTGGTCAAGGCATTGGACAAGGCTTTGGCACGCGCCGATGCTTCATCGGCCTTGCGGAGCCTCAGTTTCGAGGTTTTTCCCATGGGAAAAATGGATCAAAATGGATCAAAATGATTGGACCAACAAAAATGAGACTGAAATTACTGAATGCTACAAACTTTCAAACCTTGAAAAACTGGTTGGGACTCACAATGTTTGAACATTTCTAGCTGGTTGAATGTCAAATCAAGATGAAGGCATGATTGGTATGGGTCAGTGAAATTGAAGATGGTTGCCGCGCGCAGACTCCCTTTCTTTGAGTCTGTACATAGTCTTCTGCTATATACACCACTATACCTCGTATCTGGTCTCATTGTACCATTGATGATAAACATATTCATGGCAGCTACATTTGATACATTAAGCCACCACAGAAATACAGTATGCGCGCAGTTTCAGAGACGTGCACGCACTTTGGGAAGTATCTGGTCAAACTTGCCAAATTTCTTTACATTTTTGTTGTTGCCACTCACTGACGTACCCATCACTGAGGACTTTCTCTTCAATTCCTCTTTGGCGATTGTGTTGAGATGCACAATATCCGGTCCATCCGCCAAGCGCACGTGGCGCACGTGATGGTACAAATCAGTGAGGCGGGAATCTTGGCTGACGCCATGTGCCCCGTGAATCTGGATTGCCTCATCGATGATTTTCTGACAAATTCGAGGCGCATCGACCTTGGTCATTGCAATGAAGGCCTTTGCTGCTTTGAAACCATGATCATCTGCTTGTACAGCAGCTAGGTAGCATAGGAGGCGTGACTTGGTGATGTCCATTCTTGCTTCTGCAATGGTTTGACGAATGGTCGCCTGATCTGCAAGGAGTTTTCCAAAGGCCACACGCTGATGAACCCGATGGATGATCGCATCCAAAGCTTGTTCTGCTGTGCCAATGGTGCGCATGCAGTGATGGATCCGTCCAGGGCCCAACCGGCCTTGTGCAATTTCAAAGCCACGACCTTCGCCCAGCAGCATGTTGCTCACCGGGACCCGCACATTCTCAAATAAAATCTCGGCATGATCATGGATGTGACCAAACACTGCCAGTGGTCGGATGATGTGTACACCTTCAGCATCTCGGGGCACCAAAATCATGGAATGCTGCGAATGTCGCTTCTCATTCTTCTCATTGGACGTTGACCGTCCCAGGAAAATGAAGAGCTTACACTCCGGGCGACACGCACCACTGATGTACCACTTGTGGCCGTTGATCACATACTCATCTCCATCCCGAGTGATGGTGGCACTGATGTTTGTAGCATCACTACTTGCGACACCTGGCTCTGTCATGGCATAAGCAGAGCGAATCTTGCCCTCAAGCAGCGGCACAAGCCAGCGCTTCTTTTGCTCCTCCGTACCAAACTTTTCCAACACCTCCATGTTTCCGGTGTCAGGCGCCGTGCAGTTCATTGCAACATTGCACAAGCCAAACGCTCCAAGAATTTCACAAATCGGGGCATACTCCAATACACTGAGCTTGCCCACCTCTGGTAAAAAGAAATTGTACAAGCCTCTTGCCTTTGCTTTCTGTCGAAGCTCATCGAAAATGGGCGGGGATGCTGCCCACACTGCATGATTGGTGTATGTGGGATCTTCATGTGGCGATGCAGGCTTGCGATCTTTCACCTTCTTCACTTCTTCCCTATACTGAACGGCACAAATCGGCATTCCAGGAATAATGTCTTCCTTGATAAAACTAATGATGCGCTTGCGAACCTCAAAGAAGTTCTTGCTGAGTCTATCCTTGAAGGGCTCCAGCTCTGCAGGCACACGGTCTGGATCCAAAATATATCCCATGGCATCGGTACTAACTTCTCCCTCCATGGTCCTGATATCGGACCAAAATGGACCAAATCAACTTGAAGACTTGAAGCACTTGCGGGACAAGCTCGAATGAGCACTGGCAACCTTCATTGAAGCCGGAATCAGCAAAGACATCAATCACGCAATGTTCGCACGGTTCTATGCAGTGCCTCCGAAATCGAGGATTTAGGAAGCATTCAATCACTATGTATATACATATATATATATATTACATACTATCTCCATATTTATATCCACTATCTCCATATCTCATATATATATATATATATGATATTTATATGACTAATGATTATTAATGATTAACATATTATCAGTATAAATCAATATGCATCAATAGCCAGGCTCAGCTATCGACTCCTCTGCAGCCAGTGCTTCTGCTGCGGCTTCATCAGCAGTTGCCTGCGATGGGGCTGCAGGCTAGAGACTATTATTAATGGATATAGTTGGTTAATGTTGGTTATAATTGGTTATGAATGCGTTATCCTCCCCCGAAATCATAGCTTAATAATTGTTCATAATGAGTAATAATAGTTAGTAATGTGCATTAATGGGTATTATTATGGGATTTGAACCTCCAAAAGTTGGGATATAGTTGGGATATAACTGAACATGCCACCTGATGATCAGTGGAATATGACGGAAAAAAATTAAAGGACCGGAAAACCCCACAAGGCAACCTCTTCCAACAATGAGCACCAAATGTTGTAGCGGGGACGGGGAAAGAAGGAAAGACAAAGGAGGTGGAGGATCGAGAAGTAAAACAAAGTTGTGTGTGACCAAGTTGTATGTGAAAGATGGTGTGTGTGTGTGTGTGAAAGTTGTGTGTGAAAGGGAGCGTGTGACAAAGTTGGTGTGCAACAAAGTTGTGTGTGAAAGATGAAAGATGGTGTGTGACAAAGTGGTGTGTGAAAGATGGTGTGATACAAAGTGGTGTGTGACGTGACAAAGTGGTGTGTGAAAGATGGTGTGTCAAAGATGGTGTGTGAAAAGTTGGGTGTAAAAAATGGTGTGTGACAAAGTGGTGCGAAAGATGGTGTGTCAAAGATGGTGTGTCAAAGATGGTGTGTGACAAAGTGGTGTGTGAAAGATGGTGTGTGACAAAGTGGTGTGTGACAAAGCCGTGCGTCAAAAATGGTGTTGGACAACGATGGTGTGTGAAAGATGGTGTGATACAAAGTGGTGTGTGACAAAGTGGTGTGTGACAGTCGTGTGTCAAAGATGGTTGTGACAAAGTTGTGTGAAAGATAGTGTGTGACAGAGTGGTGTGTTAAAGATGGTGTGACAAAGCGGTGTGTGAAAGACGGCGTGTGACAAAGTTGAGGGTCAAAGATGGTGTGTGACAAAGTGGTGTGTAAAAGATGGTGTGTCAAAGATGGTGGGTGACAAAGTGGTGTGTGAAAGATGGTGTGTGACAAAGGTGGTGTGTGACACCAGAGCCAGCCCAGTGCCATAAGTGCCACGCCTGCCACGCAAAACGAAAGGGGATGTCGCCAAGTGCCACGTGTGCCACGCGAAACGAAGGTGGATGTCACCAAGCGCCACGCCTGCCACGCAAAGTGCCGCGGCGTCACCGGCGACCAATGCAGTCCAAGCGCGCCACCAGAGCCAGCCCAGTGCCCCAAGTGCCACACCTGCCACACAAAACGAAGGCAGATGTCGCCAAGTGCCACGCCTGCCACGCAAAACCAAGGTAGATGTCGCAAGGTGCTGCACCAGCCACGCAAAGCGAAGGTGGACAGCCCAATGGCCTAAGCGCCACGCCTGCCACGCAAAACGAAGGTGGATGTGACCAAGTGCCACGCCTGCCATGCGAAACGAAGGTGGATGTCACCAAGTGCTACGCCTGCCACGCAAAGTGCCGCGGCGTCACCGGCGACCAATGTAGTCCAAGCGCACCACCAGAGCCAGCCCAGTGCCATAAGTGCCACGCCTGCCACGCGAAACGAAGGCAGATGTCACCAAGTGCCACGCCTGCCATGCAAAACCAAGGTGGATGTCGCCAAGTGCCACGCCTGCCACGCAAAGTGCCGCGGCGTCACCGGCGACCAAAGCCCAGTGCTATAAGTGCCACGCCTGCCACGCAAAACGAAGGTGGATGTGACCAAGTGCCGCGCCTGCCACGTGAAACCAAGGTAGATGTCGCCAAGTGCCACGCCTGCCACGCAAAGTGCCGCGGCGTCACCGGCGACCAATGCAGTCCAAGCGCGCCACCAGAGCCAGCCCAGTGCCATAAGTGCCACGCCTGCCACGCAAAACGAAGGTGGATGTCACCAAGTGCCACGCCTGCCATGCAAAACCAAGGTAGATGTCGCCAAGTGCCACGCCTGCCACGCAAAGTGCCGCGGCGTCACCGGCGACCAATGCAGTCCAAGCGCGCCACCAGAGCCAGCCCAGTGCCATAAGTGCCACGCCTGCCACGCAAAACGAAGGTGGATGTGACCAAGTGCCGCGCCTGCCACGTGAAACCAAGGTAGATGTCGCCAAGTGCCACGCCTGCCACGCAAAGTGCCGCGGCGTCACCGGCGACCAATGCAGTCCAAGCGCGCCACCAGAGCCAGCCCAGTGCCATAAGTGCCACGCCTGCCACGCAAAACGAAGGTGGATGTCACCAAGTGCCACGCAAAGTGCCGTGAGAGATGGTGTGTGAGGAAGATGTGTGTGAGAGATGGTGAAAGATGGTGTGTGAAAGATGGCGGTTGACAAAGATGGTTGACAAAGATGATGTGTGAAAGATGGTGTGTGAAAGATGGTGTGTGAAACATGTTGTGTGAAAGATGGTGTGTGAAAGATGGTTGTTGACAAAGATGGTGGTTGGAAGATGGTGTGTGAGAGATGGTTGACAAAGATTGTGTGTGAAAGAGGGTGGTTGACAAAGATGGTGAAAGATGGTGGTGGACAAAGATGGTTGACAAAAATGGTGAAAGATGGTGTGTGAAAGATGGTGTGTGAAAGATGGTGTGTGACAAAGTTGTTGACAAAGATGGTGTGTGACAAAGTTGTGTGTGTGAAAGATGGTGTGTGTCCCACAGTGTGTTGTGTGTGACAGGCGGGCGGCGGGAGGAGGCGGGCGGGAGGAGGCGGGCGGGAGGAGGGGGGGGGGGGGAGGAGGCGGGCGGAGCACCCGGGATACAGAATCAAAAACAAGAACCCCACACAAAGTTGTGGGGAACAAGTGATAAATCGAATATGATGAAATACTCCAAGAAGATATAGCCATCTGATATCATCTAATATCATTTAGTAGGGAATATGATGATAAATGATGATAAATGATGATAAATGATGATAAATGATGATAAACCCGCGGATTGAAAAAGGGGATACACCATATCCTTAGACTCTTAGACAAAGCCATGGCATGCCAACGGGCACCTGCGCAAGCTCCAGTTCAGCCTCGTGTAGCACTCCAATGGACTTCATCTCCTGGAGGATCAGCGAATCCCTGGAAAGGTTATGAGATGCAGTAGGAAAAAGGGAATCTATACTAGAAAATCTAGAAATTGCCAATAGTTCTGTTATTTTCCCCAAAAAAATTGGGAGAACTGGCCAATGTCCACGATAGTCTGGCTTTCGTGGTGAATTAGAAGAAGCCGGCATGACTTTACGTCCACAAAGTCGCACGGACCGGATGAGTAAACCATTTCAAGAGGGATCAACTGTGAACCTTTGTCCTTAGTAGCAGGTCTATGCTGCTTCAGAGCGCAGTCTTTCAGGCACTGGTCATGGAAGGCCTTTCTGTCAAACCTCTGGCACAAAATGCCTTGCCTCAGAAGTGAATCCGCCCGCACCGAAGGTGCCGAGGCGTTTTTTGTGTGCACGCATTAACCGGAAGCAATTGCAATAGCTATTAAGTTTTGGCTTTGGGGGGGCTTTATTGCTCTAGAATCCTGTTTTTTTACCACGTTCCTTTAAGGGACCTAAAAATCAGCTAAGTTGCCAATTTGGTCTCAACATGGCCCAACATGGGCCCAACATGCCCAACATGGCCCAACCTAGGCCCAACATGGCCCAACATGCCCCACCATAGCGCCAATATAGGCCCAACATGGGCGCCCAACATGGGCGCCCAACATGGGCCCAACATGGGCGCCCAACATGGGCCCAACATGGCCCAACACGGAACAATATAGAGTAAACATGGGCCCAACATACCCCCAACATGAGCCCAACATAGAACATATATTGGGAGCTAACATTACGGTGCGGGCGGTTGTCGTCGCGAAGCGACCAGAATTAATCAAAAACATGGGAATTGTGACTTGCATGTGTGTTTTTATTCCCATCCACATGGTTGACGCTACGCTGACACCATCTTAACATCAATGGCGCGAATCTCATGCAGTGGATGAGTGGGGGGATGTGCAATACCATGTACTTCAGCTTTTGTACCAGCAATTTGCCGCAAATTGCGCTACCCTAAAACCATGTTCGCCTGTTGAATTGCACAGTGCTATGCCTCCAAATGGGGTGGTGTGGGTCGAAGGCTGCAATTTCGCAACTCTAAGTAGTACATCGATGGAGGGACAGGTGACAAGTGGATGGGAGACGACAGGATGCTTCACTTTCCGCAGCTTCGGTCCTGCACTTGAGCATCTGAATTGATCTCAGACATTCGCGTGGTGTGCTCCTGCACACAGCATGGTTGAAAGATAGCACTCTGACACTCTGCGACACCCTTCCAGCCTTTGACCCACGCAGTGACAAAGGATGGGATAAAGTAAAGTCTGCCTGCCAAGTGAACTTGACTGCAAGCTGCCGTGTTTGTTGTGCCGACTTTAGAATATGTTCCTATATACATAATATGAATATATATATATATATACAATTACAGATATCTTGCAATCAGGCCTTGGCATCAAGAAGGCCAAACTGAGCCTGGCGCAAGAAACGAAACATTTTCAATAGAGCATACTGGATACTATCTATAGCACCTCCTGATACTATCCTAGATACTATATAGAAACTACTATACTGATCATATATAGGTACAAGGTTTCTGTCTCGTGAACTCCTGATGTTCAGTAGCCTGATCTAATGCAGCAGCTGTGAAGGAGTCAGGGAGCAGCCCTTGCGACAGTAGTGTAGAGCTTCTGGCTCTTGCAACCTCGGCTGATGCGGTTGTTGGAACAGTCATTACCCTGCAATGTATACTGGTTACGTACTTGATTATACCCATGTTGCATCCATTATACATGTATAATCACGTGTGTATGTATTACACCATATATTATATATTGTATATACATACCATAGGCTATATTATATATGTTATACCCATGATAATACTGATACTGACAACCTCACTCGTTATAATATAGATCCATTATAACCATGTATTACCCAAGTTTATGCCTTGGGCTTGAACTGTGAAGAAGGTGAAGCTCAATAGACACCTCCGTCTAACGCCACTGCACCTGGAAGGAATTTGGTTGCTGCTCACACGGCAAAGATGAAGCGAACATGATGAACAAGACCCCAGTGACCGAAAGAGGAATTGATGTCATTGGAAGGAAAGGAATGCTCTCTGTAAATTGTGCTTCAAACAAATATGAAAATCAACTTGCAAATGACTGTACACATTCTGTGCACGAGGCTGAAATTAACATCACAGTGCCAATCAAAGACGTGGGGAAAATGCTGCCAAAAGCATCTCTTGCAATCATGGGTAAAAGTGTACAGAGTTACAGTATAATGGTTGTAGATCCCCATAGTATCCCCATTACGTCCCCATTACATCCTCATCATATCTCCATTGAAGCCATATCGCCATTAAACCCCCATATCCCAAAATTCTACCGTGCTGAATCAGTCAGCTGCTGCAAGGATCTTTCCATGAGGCACCCTTGCCTTCTAGCGTCAACCATAGATTCGCCTGGTCAAAGGTGAAATCTGAAGGATTTCACTCTGATTTTTCAGCCCAAGCTAGACACTGAGGTTTCACAGCTTCATGGTCTAGGATTCTGACAGGCATTCAGCTCATCATGGAAATGATTGGATGTGCAATGCCGAACCGCAGAAGTCAGTACTGTCCCTACCTTACTTGAACTTTGTCAGGCGTTATCAGGTCTGAAGCTGGTCAAGAGTTGTATTTGATCCAAGGAGGGTGAATGATGTCAGTATGAACGATCCTGTAACAAATGCTGTATGATGCTGTATAAAATGCGCCATGCAAATGTTGTAGCGTGAGGGTTCGCTAAGCAGGATTTCTGCGGCGAGAAGGAGCTACCATTTTCTGTGGCAAACATTATCCACACGTGTGCCACATTTGAATGGAAAAGTCTGCAAAAATATTGCGCAAACTCTTTTCACCACAGCACCCGCTCTTACCTCTCTCGCTTCAATGCCTCGAGTGATATTTGAAAAAAAACTTGTGGCTGCCAGAGAGCAAGTATCCAGATCCTGATATTAAAGATGAAAAACTGAGCCTTCCTTTAACTTTAAGCCAAGCGCTTTCCATCACAGTGAGTGAGCCAGAGTCGTTCATATAGTGCTGAAACCTGTCCAAAATCTTTTCCCTCTGAATCTAAACAAATCTTCTCATGCAAGCAACACACTGCACACTGAAAAACGTCTTTGGACAAAAGCTCAAGAGCTTGACAAATGCACTGCACTGCTGCCACCCTTTTGGCTCTGCAGGGCTCGGTATGGTTTCTGGAACCATGAAATCTTGCCTAGAAACTCATAGCTCCGAAAAGATGAAGATCTCTTCTGTCGCAGCCCAAAACTGCTATCAAGCCACCGACAAGGCAACCAGATCTCAAGGCGCCATCTGGAGGACTGTCGGCTCACTGTCCCTGTTGGCAAGCCTTCAACGCATCCATGAAGGACTGGCATGCGGAAGCCTCACTCGAAGACTTCATGCACTGGGTCAACTGGTCCTGCTGAAATTGACACACTGGCTGGCTGCTTGCTGCCGGTGCAGGAGCACCCTCATGACGATGAACCACCTCAGTCTGACGAGGGCCCATGACAGCATCCAACGCACGATTGGCCACAGCCATTCCGGTGCCTGCCGCCATGCCGGACATCATGGAACCCATCAACCCAGACATCATGCCACCACCAGAAGGAGCAACCGCCGGAGGTGCTGCAGCTGGTGCAGCAGCCGGTGGAGGTGCCTGCTGGGCTGCAGCAGGAGCTGGCTTTGGTGCTGCCCTGCCATAGGAAGGCGCTGGGGCAGCGCGCTGAGGAGCGCTGGCGGAGCTACGGCTGCTTTGACGAGGCATTGCCGCAAGTCAGAAGACAAATGAACGAAACACGTCGATTGAATTTGAGCCAACAATACTTCAAGCACCAACAGAAGTCCAGGGGAGCAAGTGAACTGGGCAGTGCTGTAGCACAAGCATGCGCTGCCCTCAACACCAATTTACGGAATCTGTCATTCTAGGACCTCGGAGCAATCCAGTGCAAGTGTTGCTGGCTTGGCTACAAATGCTATCCTTCTCCCACAAATGGACTGCTACGACCCTGCCTTCCCCGACAAGAAGCTGATGGATCTACTCATTTCATCCTGCACAGCAAACACGAAGAAAGACTCCAATGAAGCAAACTATGCTTTTCATGAGACATTTGAATTGGCATGGAGAAGAATACCAAGACCTACCATGTCCAGGTACACTAGTCACTATAGTCTATAGTCACTAGTTTCTTTACCTGCATTTGATGCAAAACACGTCGCCACTACTGTTGTGTCAAGAAGTATTTCGTGGTCAAGTGCGAAGGCTTGACAAATGCACTGCACTGCTGCCACCCTTTTGGCTCTGCAGGGCTCAGTATGGTTTCTGGAACCATGAAATCTTGCCTAGAAACTCATAGCTCCGAAAAGATGAAGATCTCTTCTGTCGCAGCCCAAAACTGCTATCAAGCCACCGACAAGGCAACCAGATCTCAAGGCGCCATCTGGAGGACTGTCGGCTCACTGTCCCTGTTGGCAAGCCTTCAACGCATCCATGAAGGACTGGCATGCGGAAGCCTCACTCGAAGACTTCATGCACTGGGTCAACTGGTCCTGCTGAAATTGACACACTGGCTGGCTGCTTGCTGCCGGTGCAGGAGCACCCTCATGACGATGAACCACCTCAGTCTGACGAGGGCCCATGACAGCATCCACCGCACGATTGGCCACAGCCATTCCGGTGCCTGCCGCCATGCCGGACATCATGGAACCCATCAACCCAGACATCATGCCACCACCAGAAGGAGCAACCGCCGGAGGTGCTGCAGCTGGTGCAGCAGCCGGTGGAGGTGCCTGCTGGGCTGCAGCAGGAGCTGGCTTTGGTGCTGCCCTGCCATAGGAAGGCGCTGGGGCAGCGCGCTGAGGAGCGCTGGCGGAGCTACGGCTGCTTTGACGAGGCATTGCCGCAAGTCAGAAGACAAATGAACGAAACACGTCGATTGAATTTGAGCCAACAATACTTCAAGCACCAACAGAAGTCCAGGGGAGCAAGTGAACTGGGCAGTGCTGTCGCACAAGCATGCGCTGCCCTCAACACCAATTTAAGGAATCTGTCATTCTAGGACCTCGGAGCAATCCAGTGCAAGTGTTGCTGGCTTGGCTACAAATGCTATCCTTCTCCCACAAATGGACTGCTACGACCCTGCCTTCCCCTTGGATGAGTTGCTTGATGACAAGAAGCCGATGTATCTACTCCGCGATCTTGATCTCAACCTGCGTCACAAACAGTGAGAAAGACTCTATTCCATGTTCGTTGATTCTGCATGTTCTGTAGGTTGCGCTCAAAGAAACGCTAGGAATGGCACTGTTGCGGCACTAATTATTTGCGGCTGATGGATTTTCTGTAGCATTAAACAACCTTGACCTTGGACAGATTCTGTGGCGGCTCAGCAGCATTTTTTTACTCGCTGCAAGTGGTAAGCCGCCAGAAAATTCCAGTCAGAGGTACTGGTCCTTGTGTGCAATATCTTTTTGAGGATGTTTCACGGTGTTTTGTACTGCTCTCCAACTGGTGCAATGCGTCGAAAACGCGGTCTCCAGACCGGCAAAGAAACATTTCTAGGTTTCTCATCCTTCACCCCACTCAAACGGTGGACTTGGGCCACAAGCACTCACGATTTTCTGACAAGTCTACTCACGTTGCTGGTGCTGATGATATAAGTCAAGACTTAAAATTTAGCAAGTCAGAAAGTGTGATATGTCTACATTTCGACATCTTCCGATCTTCTATAAAATCACCATGGCCCGAGAGAGAAGCCGATCCTTGCAACTCAGATTGGTAGCTTAAGCAATGCCAGATATGCCGGCTGCGCTGTCAATTCTCTGCTGCAATCTCGCCCTGGACAAGGGGGTACAGAACCACAGATCTGCTCGCGTTTGATCGATGCTTTGCCATTGTTGAGTGCCAGACCGAACCCGCCTATTGGGGGGACCCAGGGACGCATGACGTTGAGCCATCTCCCAAATCTATGTACATATAAAATATTGCTTATAAATATATATATATATACAGATACAGTGTGTGTGTGTATTATATATACATATACATATATATATACATACAATCTAAATCCAATGTCTACTTGAGGCCAGGGGGGAGGTACGAAAACTAGCAGGGCTGGGGTAGGGTGGTAATCGTAAAGGGGGATTAGCAAGGTGAAGTCGGAATGCGGCAACGGTCTCACGTGGTTTTTTGGAGTTGCTGCAAGTCACAAACAGTGCCAATCTTTTGATGTTGATGAGGTTGCTGACCAGAGCGATGAAGGAAACTGATGATGACGAAAGTGATGCTAACAGGAATGATTTGATGACGACGATGATGAGGACAAAGAGAATGATGAGGATGATGAAGATGATGGGGATGATGAGGACGATGAGGATGTTGAGGATGCTGAGGATGAGAATGAAGATGAAAATGAGGATGGTGATTATGATGAGCAGGGCTGTTGTAGGGTTGCAAAATCTATTGAGTCCAGCAAGCGAAAACCCCTCAATGCAGTAATCGTCTCTCGCCAAGTGTTGCAAGCAAAAGAAACGCAATATATATATATATTATATATATATATAAAAGCCCCCCAAATGGAAGCCCGAATCAGCATAAAGATGTTCGAGACAATGCAACATATGTAGAATGATGATAAGCATGATGATGAGGATGATGATGTTGTTGATGATGATGATGATGTGGATGCTGCGAATGATGGGGATTATGATGATGATGATGAGGAGGAGGAGGACGATGATGAGGAGGATGAGGATGAGGATCAGGATGAGGATGGGGATGGGGATGGACATGGGGATGGGGATGGAGGATGAGGATGAGGATGACGATGAAGATGAAGATTTTATTGATGATGATGATGATGATGATCATGATGATGATGATGATGATGATCATGATCATGATCATGATCATGATCATGATGATGATGACGATGATGATGATGATGCTGATGATGATGACGACGACGAGGATGAGGAGGAGGAGGAGGAGGGGGAGGAAGATAATCATGATCATTTGGAAGCCGCCAAGTTTCCGATGATGATTTTATGGAGTTGTTGGTTGGTTTACTGAACATGACGTCCTGAAGATGAAATACTGAAGAGGACGACCCTATACCTGCAGGAAACCAATGGCCCAGCGGGACCAGGGGATGAGGAGGAGGACGAAGAGGACGAAGAGGACGAAGAGGATGATGAGGAGGAGGAGGATGATGATGACGAGGATGACGAGGATGATGAGGATGAGGATGAGGATGAGGACGAGGATGAGGAGGGTGAGGATGAAGATGAAAATGAGGAGGATGACCCTCTACCAGCCGGAAATCTCCTCTCGGGGGGGCTCGGGGGGGATTGAATCGGGGCCTGCCAGGGGGGGGTAACTGAAAAGTTTCAAGGTTTCCAATGGTCCTAGTGCCTGCCTATTCCTTGCTAAAGCAAGAGCAACTTCAGCTAGCACAGCTAGCTTTCGTGACTTTCAAGATTACACCTTGAAGAAAAGATCTTATTTGGAACCGTGTTGAACCGTGATGATCTTGGCCTCCCGCCTACATGGTCTCGGTGATCAGACCCTGGCCAATGGTCTTGCCACCCTGAAGTCACGAGTCAAAATGAAGGGCACGAGTCAAGATTGAATCTTTACAGAGAATGTGAAACATCTCTGATTGCTGATTCAAATATACACATAATTACTGGATCATACTGGTGTGTAGACCTTGCTTTCAATGACCTGTGTCTTCAATCTGCACTGGAGTATTCCTCGTTCCTTTCACGTGCAAATTTTGTCTCACAAGCATGCTTCAGTCCTCACGCATGGCGAAGCGCATGCCCTTCTCAATGGGGGTGGCGGCAATGAGCTCGCATTCGCAGGTGACGTCATCTCCTGGCATGGCCATCTGCACCTCACTTCCTTCGGAGCTGGTCATGCCCTCAATCTTGCCGGTCACATCGCAGGTGCGGAAGTAGAAGACAGGCATGTATCCAGGCATCACTGGGTTGTTTCGGCCACCCTCGTCCTTCTTTGCAAAGTAAATGTTGGCCTTGAACTTGGTGTGAGTTGTCGTGGCACCTGGTGCACAAATCACCTGACCGCGGAACACTGCATCCTTCTCGATACCACGGCACAGCACGCCGACCGTGTAGCCAGCTGGGCCTTCTGGGAGATCTGTGTTGAACATTCGAATGCCGGTGATCACGGACTTCTGAGGCTTCTTGCCACGGCCCAAAATCTCCACCTCGTCACCCTTCTTCACAATACCCTGCTCAACTCGGCCAGTGCACACAGTTCCTCGTCCTGAGATTGAGAACACGTCCTCCACAGCCAAAAGGAATGGCTTGTCGGTGTCACGCTCTGGGGTTGGAATGTAGTCATCCACGGTCTCCATGAGCTCCAGGATCTTGTCAACCCACTTGTCCTCACCTCAGGCTTGGAAAGTCGTTTCAGCTTCAATTCAAGTCACCCTTACAATGCCGGTTGGGATGGTTAGGCACAGAAGCTAGTATAATCTAGCATATAAAAGACTATAGTGACTGTAGAATTAAGTAGAACCGCACAAGGCGGTGGCGGAAGTTTCAAAAATAGGAAGCCTATAGGAGAGATTGGTTGTTGTGAATCACGGCTGGCAGAGCGAATCCACTGATGGACCGAAAGGTGGTTGGAGCTGTGTTTTGTGGAGTGGCTGCAATGGTTGCAGTGGTCACCTGGTCGGTCACCTCACCCACAACTGCTGGATGTAGTGTGGTGTAGTGCAGCTGTAGTTGTAGTTGTAGTGTGGTGGAGTTGTAGTTGTGGTGTAGTGTAATTACTGTAGTGTAGTTGCAGTTGCATTTGTGGTGGTGTAATGAGTGTAATGTAAAAGAATGTAATGTAATGCAATGTGGGGTAGGGTAGTGTAGTGTAGTGTAGTGTAATTGAGTGTAGTGTGGTATGGTGTAGTGTAGTGTTGTAGTGTAGTTGTAGTGTAGTGTAGTGGAGTGTAGCGTAGTGTAATGTAGTGTAGTGTAGTGTAGCGGAGTGGAGTGTAGTGTAGTGTAATGTGGTGTAGTGTAGTGGAGTGGAGTGTAGTGTAATGTAGTGTAGTGTAGTGGAATGTAGTGTAGTGTAGTGTAGTGTAGTGTAGTGTAGTGTAATTGAGTGTAGTGTAGCGTAGCGTAGCGTAGTGTCGTGTGGTGTGGTGTGGTGTAGTGTAGTGTATTGTAGTGCAGTGCAGTGGAGTGGAGTGTAGTGGAGTGTAGTGTAGTGTAGTGTAATTGAGTGTAGTGTAATTGAGTGTAGTGTAATTGAGTGTAATTGAATGTAATTGAGTGTAGTGTAGTGCAGTGTAGTGGAGTGTAGTGGAGTGTAGTGGAGTGTAGTGGAGTGTAGTGGAGTGTAGTGGAGTGTAGTGGAGTGTAGCGTGTAGCGTAGTGTAGTGGAATGTCATGAAGGTGTAGGTGTAGTTGTAGTGTAGCGTATTGGAGTGTACAATCCCTTGCGTTTGCCACGCGAAACGACATCTGAACGTCCAAAAGTGGTCCGAACCCCTGGTGCTTTTAACATGTTGACTTCGAAATGTGCTTCGCGCCACAACGGCGTGCACTTTTTCGACATCTCAACGCCCAAAAGTGGTCCGAACGCCTGGTGCTTTTAACATTTTGACTTCGAAATGTGCTTCGCGCCTCAACGGCGTGCACTTTTTCGACCTCTCAACTTCCAAAAGTGGTCCGAAGCTGAGGTGCTTTGTGCATTTTGACTCGGAAATGTGCTTCGCGCGCCACAACGGCGTGTAATTTTTCATCTCTCATCTGGGCAGCTGGCTCCGCACCCGCCGCTTTAGCGAGCCTACTTTTCGACCCTCTGGAGCCACAAATCATTGGAAAAACACAGTGTTTAGCGACTTCCTATCTTTTTTGCGCACCTGCATCTTCTTTCTTCTGACTCTTTCTCTTCTCTGATCTTCTCTCTTCTGCTCTTCTCTTCTCTATTCTTCTGCTCGACCTCTGCTTTTCATCTGTCCATGTTGTGGGAAGTTTGACTTCTAAACTTCCTTCGACAATGTAGAATATACACAGTTCGGCACTTTGCTGAGCCATGTGCCCTTCTTGGTTCCTGGATTGCTCTTCATTGCTTCCAGGGCTTGCAAGGCAGATCCTGCAGGAGGGGCTGAGAATATGTCATTTTGCAGTACACTTGATTTCCAAACAAAACACTGAGTGTTCTTCGACATTCTGATCATTCTGATTCGGAAAGCCTTGGATGAATGGTGTGTCATCGCCAGGGAAGCCGTACTGGCTCAACCTTGAAGGATGCGCGGTGACACCGATGATCGAACTGTGACCATGTATCATCATGCATCATCCATTTGTGGCATTGGCGGCATTGGAATGGTATTTTGAGCTGCAAACATCTCGCGAGTTTCCAGCTCAACCAGCTCCAAAAGCTCCTCGTCATCCATCATGTCAACCTGGGAGCAGAATGCTTCTGACAAAACGATGAAGCTGCATGGCGCAGGCGCTTGGATCCAACTGTACTCTCGGGGACAAATGATCCTTTCCTAAGATCTCAATGTCCGTGGGATTAAGGGATGTATGATGGTACAAAATGGTACAAACATCTTGCCAGGCAAAGTTCTGCCATGATAAAGCTGCGCCGCTCGCCTTGTTCATGAAGCACACAAGCTTTGGCACACCCACCTGGAGTGCAGTATGTCAACGCTGCTAGTGAGTTTTAGATGTTTTAGGTTACCATCCTTAACATAGACCCTGCCTTAACTGCCTTAACTGGAGGATTGGAAGACGTTGGAAGACTGCTTTCCTCTAAAAACAATCCATTCTCAGGATCTATGTTCATTGGGGAGATGGTATCCCAAAAAGGCCAGTGGCGGCCAGAGCCTGCTTCGACAGAAGAATGTGCTCACGGGTCTGGGCCATCGGTCCGTCTGGTGAAGAGATCACCAGAATTCCTCCATCCATCTGGCATGCTCCTTGGACATTGTCTGCAAATCACTGCAAAGGATTGACTCGGCGTCCACACACCCGGCCGTCCTGTGATCATGTTCTTGACATAATCTGCGTGTCCGGGGCAGTCCACGTGGCAGTAGTGCCTTGCACACATGACTCCTCTATAACTTATCGATTGCAAACTTGTTCAATGAGGTTCAACGCAGTTCTAGAAGAAACCGTCAAACGGATAGAAGACGGGCAGTACTGCGGTACAAACCGGAATGTTAACTATGGCAAACAGCTCTGTTGACAAAAACAACACACAAAAAAAAACACCAAAGCAAACGAAGCAGCCTGTTTGGAGTCTCATACTCAATGTGAGAGGCGTTAATAGTGATACCGCGAGAGCGCTCCTCTGGAGCGTTGTCAATCTCCTGGCCCAAATACGGCATCATGCAAGAAGCAAAATACACAAGATTGTATAATTGTGATTTGTGATGTGAAATGACAGTGATACATAATGATACATATAATGTGTACATCTGTCTGGATCGTGCAGCTTCAAGGTAAAGGCATGTGCCAAAGCTCATCAACATCAACTCGCAAGTTGATGAGTCAGCCTCGTAGGACTTCTGCGCGGTGTCACCAGAAGTGCTGAACCTGATGTCAAAACATGTCAAGTTCACTGGTTCTGCTGATGTCAAGTCTTTCTCGAGAAAATGATTGCTGATTTTGACAATTTCTTCATCACTGCAAGCACAACACCTTCCAAGGTGACATGTACATAGTTTTTTTCATGTTGTCATGAGGTGTGACTTAGGCTGGAACTGGCCGCAGACCAGAGAAATTGCGGCTGACAGAGTGGTCTTGCCGTGGTCAACGTGGCCAATGGTGCCGATGTTCACGTGAGGCTGCAAGCGGGACAAACTTCAAAAACAGGAGCACTGCGATGAACTCTGAGCACAGCTTGACCAAACATCGACTCAAGTTGTGTTTGACATCACGGTCGACCTTGGCATCGGCATGGCGGACCACTGCTGAGGCTCTTGACTGACCCACCTTAGCACAAGCTTGGATTGGACCAGTTCGCCTGTTTGATAAACATATGACCAACCATCATGGCAGTACTGAGACACGGGCTTTACGGCCGCTTCGGCTCAACCCCGCAGCCTGTTGCAATCTAATGCAATCCAATGCAATCTATGCAAAGGAGCTCCAGGAGCTCCAAGACCATAAGATTATCTAAGATGATTCAAGATGTTTCACAGAGATCGCCTGCAGTCGTTGCTCAAACACAAGATGCACATCACGTTCGATGAGGTCCGAGGTCCAAGCTCCAACTGCTGCAGCACCAAGGACAAGCGCCTCAACGATTCCAAGTGGCTCATCGCTGCACGGGGAATCTGTGTCAGTTCCACAAGATGCTTGTGAAACACGTCGGTTGAATGAACCCGGCACAAGAAATGTCACAAAATGCTGCAATAGAATCAATAGATTCGTGTGAGATGATGCTACTCTTTATTCCACGCTGTGGAGCAAACGCGAGCATGAGACAATACGTCTGTTGGGTGTGGCACAGCATGGCACAGCAATGACCGCAAAAATGCTGAATTTGGGCGAGCTACAAAGGGCATGGTTGAGCTGGCTGATGACATTCCATTGCTGTTGTTTGCCTCAGCAGAATTTGGTACTGGATTCATTCCTCAGACAATAGTGTGTATTCGTTCGAAGATGCGAAGTTTCATGATGTGTCATTGTTTATGATGATAATGAAACAATTGTATTTCATGATGCGTAGTTTCATGGGTTTGCCCAAAAATACTATTGTTTATCACGATTGGTCCCCAACGACCATATATTGGGCACCATTGTTGGACAAACCCACGTGGCAGGTGATCGATTCTGAGCGCTGTGCAGAGCCTCTGGCCGAACTCAAGTCCTTTTGCCGTGAAAATCGACACTTCCACACTGACTTGCCGAAACGACGAAAGAGGTTCTCTCAAATTTGGGAACCAAAAAAACATCCCAGATGACCCAGATGCAATCATTATCCACACTATTTCATGGAAGTTCGGCCCATTCCCATGGTTGCAGATGTTTCCTGCATTACCTCAAAAATGACCGATGACTTGAGTGACTTGAGTATGATCATCCCACTATCATTAGGGATTCCTTATGATGGTATACTACCCCCTATGTTATGGTACCGTTCCGTGCACTAAGCATCGGTATTAAAAAAACTCCAAAGGTGACCATAAAGAAATCATTGGATCGATGATCTATGGATTTGTTGTAGTGATTTTAAGTAGATTTATTTGGAAGAATGGATATTCTACTAATTCTACCATCATTTTTCCCATTCAGACGTCGATCTTCTGGCTATCTAATAGTTTACTGAACAGCTTGGCTATCTTGATCTCTCCCATTTTCTGACAGATCCACATGCCACAAATGACCCAAAAAACGGTGCTCCCGCCGCGCCTTCAACTTGTCTGGTCTGCCCTGTTGAAGTGACACAAAAGCCGTGGAGGACAGGACCTCAAGCTGCTCCAAGCCATGTGATGGCCATCGGAGAACCTCAAACAGTGGAATAGTATGGAATAGATTGGAATAGTATTAGTATGGAAAAATGATACGAATATCAGGAATATGTAATATGGCCAAAAACTGATGTTCCAAACCCACTGTAGTGGATATTTTACAAGTTCCCCATAAACTGGCCCAAAAAAAGAATATGGTTCAAATCAAGATATAGTACCAATGAAGCCACAACTTCAGCTGAGGTGCAATAGCCATGCTGCCCACCAGGGCGATGGACACAACACCAGAGCCTCAGGAAGTTCGTTTTGTAATGTTGCATTGTACCTGTGACAATAAAAAACCATCAATTGGGTCCGGTCTGTCAAGCCTGAAAATACTGTGTCCCAAAATTTGACGATAATCATTTGTTCCCGCTATTCCGGGGAGACACGCTCAAATATCTTTCCCAAGTATGTTCTGAGAAAGACACGGGGTGCCATTGATGTCTCACACACCTGTCGCAAAAAAGAGTCGTCTATGGCCTACCCGGGCCACTGAAGTTGCAGGAATTCAAGGATCGATTTTGGGCAATGAAAATATGAATCCTCAGCATGAATCTTCATGAATGTTCATGTCCAGGGGTATGTGCTAAAGTTGATCGCAGCTGCACTGCGAAGTAACCCCCAAATCGAATTACTCGACCGAAATTTGTGGTGCCTTGGGCCTTGAATTTTGATGCATCCTTTCGGGGAGAGGAACCTGCTCGCACACGCCACACAAAGTCCTTGCCTGATTCACTTGCACCAGAGTGAGCCGAACCAAACAGCTGCGAAGCCAGAGCCACTTTAAAAAAAGGTTCGTCACTTCATACGCATGAGTGTTCTGCAACGTGGGGTGCCTAAACCCATGGGTTTCAATGCTATCATCTGTGTCGTGGGTAGGTTTGGAAATCTTATCATCTTAGTCATCGCCTGCGTCCTCATCAATCTCTGTCTGACATGGCAGGCACTGGTCAAAGCGCTCAGAACATGAAAGACTATGCAGGAGTGACAAAACAGAAACCAATTTCGCTAATGCCAACTCCTAGGTCACACTGGTTTGCACAGAGTTTTCCGACTGTGTTTTCCAGGTCGTTCTAAATCAACTTGATCTTCGCAGATCGTTCATATTGAAATACACTCTTTCAGACTAATACGCCATTGGATAAACAAATGCTCGTCAACGAGTTATACCCCCTACTAGGCTGATCCACTTAGTTCAAATGAAAGTTAAGTGTTTGCCATGTACCCACGCTCAAAATGTTGAATATCTGTTGAATAGCGGCAGTAAGACAAGAAAACAGAATCTGAAAAGGGATAACTCTACCTAGCCTAGAATATTTTGCCACCCTGCCCTCCCCCAAAGCCTGTCAGAACAGCGGAAAGATGAGAAAAACAAGAGTCTGAAAAGGGATAATAACGGATAGCGCTATCGAGAATATTTTGCCAACCTGCCCTCACCCCAAGCCTGGCAGAGCGTCACAAGAAAACAAACAAAGTTAAAAGGAATTAAATTACAGGTGGCAACTCTACAAAATGCATCAAAATGCTCTACAATAAGATTGCTGCTGAAGGTTAGGGTTGCCGACACTCCGCCTTCTTCAAGGCACTGGGCACAGCTCGTTGTTGGTCGGCACATGAGCTTGGATTTCAAACCCCACTAGCAGAGCATGGATCTAGAGTGAGGCTGACAATTCGGAAAATCAAGAGTCCTAGCGGCATACAATGCATCAGGTAATCTCATGGAATCATAGAATCCGTGAGGAAAGGAAAAGGGAAAGGAAGGAGCAGGAAGTCATATAGCCACGTTTCTACTGAAAAGGGTAATGACCCCTGCAACCTCAAACTCCTCCCAAATGACAGGTCCCAAAGTGACGGCCTTCAAAAATGCGCCCAGCGATCAATGAGGTCAAAAGAAACATGGGACAAAAAGAGATACATAGCAAAAGAATACTGCGGAAACGCTGGGTTGATAGGACATATGGCCAATTGATACAACTTAATAAGCCTACCGCTACTAAATTCAGCATGACTCACAAAGGAAAATTTGAAAACGCGCTAATACTCCTTGTCTGTTGGGCTGCCATGCCGCGGCAAGCCCCAACGCCTTTTGAAAAGGTGAAATCCCAACATCTCGGCGGTCGGATCGACACCTGGATGGTGAGCTGCGGTGCGCCGACGTGAAAAACTTAAGTGGCAAACGATCACATGTGCCGTGGTAAATGGCTGGTCATCCATCCCATAACGGGAATCCTTACAATGGATGTTTAAATCATGTTAAATCATGTTAAATCCCTATTGATGGCAATATATGGCAATATTATACAATCCAACTTTGACTATGGCACAAGTGTACTGAATGTGTCTTTTTTTTAAGTGTTCCATGGGCACATGATTCATAATGGACTTTCCAGCTGGTCATGTCAGTTTCTTTGAAGTATTCTAGGGAGGGTTGACAGCCCCCGCGCACCATGCCAAATGGATTAAGGTGGAACCCATCTTTTGTCAAATTCTACCCGTTTGGCATGAAAGAACTTCGAAGGATATTGATCAGATATGATGTATCAGGTTCTGCACCCAGCTTCACTGCGACCTGGAATTTGACATGGATTTACTGTTACGACCAAAAGGACCGTTTAGGATTGTGGAAAATTCCCACGTGAGCAGGTGTCCCTTTGTCGCTACATTGCTGTGGGCAATCCCTTTCTGGACACAGTGCCAAGACAGATTACCTATGGCCGATGGATTTCATGAGATTTGGGATGTACCAGCACGGGAGAAAGCCTTGACCAGCTCAGTTGACGACAAAGAGCATGAATTCCCCGGCTTAATCTGCCTGCCAAGGCCGATTGCTTCCTCCTACCTGACATTTGCTGTGATATCAGCTGTCCAAAAATCGGGCAATACCCCGAATTCATTGGTTGTTTCCGATCAAATTGCCATTTTGAGGTCAACATCCTATTTTTATCTTTGCAAACGCAAACATCCTATTTTCGGATACTGTTGCCAGCACGCTGCAAATCAACTCAAGAGCTTGGAGAAATCCACAGAGTGCGACGTGCGACCTTTTCTTATCGCAGAATGTTGTCAGCCGAAAGCCGAGCTGCGAGAAAATCGCCTTTTGCATATGCCAGCACCCCTAAACCCTCATTCTTGCTCATCGAGCTAAGCTGATGATTTTGAGTAAAATCGAAGAGGAGCTGGGTACTGGGAGAAGTCCCCAGACCGGTCTGAAGGGTCGAGGACGAGCTGTTTGGGCCTGTCCTCTACCTCCGGACTTGGGGGAAAATCAACTAGGGTAGTAACATGTAGTAACTGATGTCAAATGAACGTGGGTTTTGACAACACTGCCTTGTCACAATCACAATTGACTTGAAGAAACGTGCTTAAAGAATTCAAGCGCCATCACCAATAGATCTTGAACCCACGCCAGACAGAAAGAAACAGAACAAACGCTGCGTCTTCATAGTGCATCATTCCATATCATTCCTATGTCTGTGTTGGCCTGCAGCCAGGCAAAAAAAATCATCACCGCACATGCAAGGGCGTGTAGAAGAAATGGTGGGTCTGTGTTGATTCCAGCTGAAGTTGATCATATTTCTCAACATAAATATGCATAAATACAAATAGCATGTTTGAATGCCTGCATCTGGTGGAAGCCTACTGTGACTCAAGTGTCCAACATTAAGATCCTGCGCGGCTACGGGGTGCTTTTCTTGGTCAAGGGCCTACATGGTCTCCGTGATCAGACCCTGGCCGATGGTCTTGCCACCCTGAGCAAAAGAGGTTCTTACTTGCCACTGGTGTTTTCTGTCAAAAACCTCACCCGACAATAGACATCAATAGACTCTCTTGCATAGGGAACTCTTGCAACTAGACTCAATTACCAGCTTCTTGGATGTGTGATGTGTGTGTCTGTGTGTGTCTGTGTGTGTGTGTAACATCTGAATAGATGTAAAACTTCTTCTCTCTCTTTTTCTTCCTTTGTCCTCTCCCTTTCTAAATCTAAATTAATTTAATGCAGGGGGCGACAGGGTCGCTGCATGGCTGTCGCCAACGAAGCTCCATGCAGTTGACTAGGATATGGAGTCTGATCAACTCCACGTACCTGCTTTCTCCGACATAGCAAGGGGCCAAGCTTAGAACCCCAACAACAATATTATACAATTTGCTGCACTGATAATCTAGGCTGGTTTGCATGTTTCAGGATTCAGTTCCTGACGGATCATATAATGATCCATTCTTGTCTAGTGTGATTTCCATGGTGGCTCCGACATGGTGCCATGGAGCCATTGGAGGCAACCCTTTTCAGGGTGAGTGTTGACAGACTTGAATTCTGAATTCACACATTTTAACTTAGTAATTCGTTTAAGTAAAGGGCAACAATCAGCCTTGCGGTTTATCAGCCATTTTGAGATTTCCTGCTGCTCCGGCTGTCCCAGGGTCCCCAGTGATCTGATCTTTCAAGTGAAGCTGCTTCGAACTACCAGAAACTTCCTTTTTATCACTGCAGCTTGCGCATTTGAAGTTCAACATGACATTCACGAAAAAAGGCAACAGGCATGTCCTTTTCCTGCAGGTGTGGTCTCTTTGGTTTTTGGTGAGGTGAAACATATTGTGCATCTAATTCGTTGAAACTTGGAAGCTGTTTTATGCCATTGCGGCACGACTTGACCACGGTCCCGGTGCAGGGAATAATCGCACGACTTTTTAGGCATTTAGGGACTGAATCCTGTTTATAATTAATTGTTTTGGTTTTCCTGTCGGTCATCAACTAGTCCCCCATTTGGTCCCTAATTCTCCCCGCGTGCCTCTCCGTAATGTGTCGTGGGGTTTAGGTGTGTGCGCTGTTTTTGTTCAGGTCCGTTTCGCCGTGTAGGTTGGTTCCGGAGGTCCGTCTGTTCCCCTCCCCCCCCTGCGCTGTTTTTGGCCGTTTGCCCTTCGTGTGTCCGCTTTTTTCTTCCTCTTGCCTTTCAGGGTTGACCCGGCTCCGGCCGGGTGTGTGTGTGTAACATCTGAATAGATGTAAAACTTCTTCTCTCTCTTTTTCTTCCTTTGTCCTCTCCCTTTCTAAATCTAAATTAATTTAATGCAGGGGGCGACAGGGTCGCTGCATGGCTGTCGCCAACGAAGCTCCATGCAGTTGACTAGGATATGGAGTCTGATCAACTCCACGTACCTGCTTTCTCCGACATAGCAAGGGGCCAAGCTTAGAACCCCAACAACAATATTATACAATTTGCTGCACTGATAATCTAGGCTGGTTTGCATGTTTCAGGATTCAGTTCCTGACGGATCATATAATGATCCATTCTTGTCTAGTGTGTGGAATGATAAGAATATGGGCAATTACAGCGACCACAAGCCATCCACTCCTCACGCATGGCAAAGCGCATGCCCTTCTCAATGGGGGTGGCGGCAATGAGCTCGCATTCGCAGGTGACGTCATCTCCTGGCATGGCCATCTGCACCTCACTTCCTTCAGAGCTGGTCATGCCCTCAATCTTGCCGGTCACATCGCAGGTGCGGAAGTAGAAGACAGGCATGTATCCAGGCATCACTGGGTTGTTTCGGCCACCCTCGTCCTTCTTTGCAAAGTAAATGTTGGCCTTGAACTTGGTGTGAGTTGTCGTGGCACCTGGTGCGCAAATCACCTGACCACGGAACACTGCATCCTTCTCGATACCACGGCACAGCACGCCGACCGTGTAGCCAGCTGGGCCTTCTGGGAGATCTGTGTTGAACATTCGAATGCCGGTGATCACGGACTTCTGAGGTTTCTTGCCACGGCCCAAAATCTCCACCTCGTCACCCTTCTTCACAATACCCTGCTCAACTCGGCCAGTGCACACAGTTCCTCGTCCTGAGATTGAGAACACGTCCTCCACAGCCAAAAGGAATGGCTTGTCGGTGTCACGCTCTGGGGTTGGAATGTAGTCATCCACGGTCTCCATGAGCTCCAGGATCTTGTCAACCCACTTGTCCTCACCTCAGGCTTGGAAAGTTGTTTCAGTTTCAATTCAGTCACCCACAGAAGCTAGTATAGTGCAATATATACACAGTTTGGCACTTTGCTGAGCCATGTGCCCTTCTTGGTTCCTGGATTGCTCTTCATTGCTTCCAGGGCTTGCAAGGCAGATCCTGCAGGAATCCATGCGTAAACATGTAGACAGTACACCATGAAACAGTTCAACAATTTGCACTAGCAGTCACTAGCAAATAGAGCGTTTACGGTAGTTTGACATGATTTGGAAAGCCTTGGATGAATGGGGTGTCATCGCCAGGGAAGCCATATTGGCTCAACCTCACCATACTTCTTCAATGATTCTCTGTGTGTGTGTGTATCCCAACTGTGGGCTTGACACTGATTGAACATTGATAATATGTGATAATTGATCATGAGTCACAAGAAGAATCACGTGTACTGAGCTCCAGTCATCTCGCGGGTTTCAAGCTCAACCAGCTCCAGAAGCTCCTCATCATCCATCATGTCAACCTGGAAGCAGCGTGCTTTTGACAAAAGGATCAAAAGGCATGAAGTTGGACAGTCGAAATTGTTGCTTCTGTGCAGCTGCACCAACTTCAATGACGTCTGACAGCAAGCAGCTGTGTTCTTCAATTTAATGAAATGTGAAATGTACGGCATCTGATCAGAAGTTCGAAGGCACTCTTGGTTTTGATGCAGGCAGGTATGACGAGAATGCCGCTCACCTTGTTCATGAAGCAGACAAGCTTTGGCACACCCACCTTGCGGGCTTGCAGTATGTCCGTTTATTGCTAGCAATTTTCATCAGAATTCTCAAATATTCTCAACTATTCTCATGTTGGCTGCGCCGTGAGTGTTGGGTTATCTTGATTATCTCTCACTCTGTGGCTCTGGCCTGCTTCGACAGAAGAATGTGCTCACGAGTCTGAGCCATGGGTCCATCTGGTGAAGAGATCACCAGAATTCCTCCATCCATCTGGCATGCTCCTCGCACATTGGTGGCAAAACCACTGTCCAGAATAAAAAGCTGGCAATCGTGACCCTCATTACAAATGCGCGTCCTGTGATCATGTTCTTGACATAATCTGCGTGTCCAGGGCAGTCCACGTGGCAGTAGTGCCTTGCACACAGGGCAACTCTTTGACAGAACGTGACAGAACACGACTTGTTAAATGAGGCTCAATGCACTTCCAAAGGAAGCCTTCACACCGGTATTGTTGAAACAAACATGGGTCGGCTCTGCTGATGCAAAGCAAGGACTCAACAAGACCGAAGCAAACGAAGAGAGGAGCCTGTTTGGAGTCTCGTACTCAATGTGGGAGGCATTGATAGTGATACCACGGGAGCGCTCCTCTGGAGCGTTGTCAATCTCCTGTTCAAGAATGCACTATGCAAGAAGCAAAAAGCGCAAATAGTAAACTTTATGTCTAGATTGTATAGTATACAGTATACAGTATACAGTATACAGTATATATTGACATAGCGAGATATAAAATTATGTTTTTTTCGGATCCTGCTGCAGCTTCAAGGTAAAGTAAAGGATGTAAAGGTGTGTGTGTGTGTGTCTGTGCTGTTCGACGCTCTTCAATCAAAAGTTGAGGAGTTGGCCTCATAGGACTTCTGCGCGGTGTCACCGGACGTGCTGAACCTGCCAAAACTAACATGTCGAGCCTTGCAAGGCCAAAACCTCTCATCCTTCATTCTTCTCTTCGTGTAACCAACACCTTGCAAGCTGACATTGCTTGTCAAGGCGTGACTTGGGCTGGAACTGGCCGCAGACCAGAGAAATTGCGGCTGACAGAGTGGTCTTGCCGTGGTCAACGTGGCCAATGGTGCCGATGTTCACGTGAGGCTGCAAGCGGGACAGACTTCAAAAACAGGAGCACTACAATGTAGTCACTACAATCGACCCTGAGCACAGCTTGACCAAACATCGACTCAAGTTGTGTTTGACATCACGACCTTGGCATCGGCACGACGGACCACTGCTGAGGCCCTTGACTGGCCCACCTCATTGCCAGCCAAGCTTGGACTGCTTTGCCCGTCTGATGAACATGTGACATCATGTGACCAAGCATCACTGCCAAGCCAGTACTAAGCTCCGGGCTTTGCGGCCGCTTCGGCTCAACCCAGCTGCCTGCTACAAACTACGCAAAGAAGCTCGAAGACTCTAAGCCAGGTTAGGGAAATTGCAGATATTGCAGAGCATTGGTTGCTCGAACTGAAAATGCAAATGCATGCAAATGCTGATTTTGGTGAGGTCCAAACTCCGACCGCTGCAGCACCAAGGACGAGTGCCTCAGGTGCTCTCGAACTTAGAAGAGAAACCACAATTGGGAAAAGAATGCTTGTGGCATTCTGTGTGACTGGTGTTCTTTTGCTCTTCGGCTGCACGTATCCATCCGAACTCCTGAATTCGAAAACCAGTCACAACTGGCATGGTTTGGCCGGCTGAAGACGTTCCGCTTCTGTTTGCCTTGGCCAAGCCATCCCTTTGACAGCATGGTCTAATCTGCTTGGCTGTGGGATCAGTATGGATCAGTAGCCTCTATTGCTAGATCTTTTCGCGGTAATGCAAAAGAAGGGAAAACACAAAGCTCAGTGGGAAAGCTCAGTGAAAGGATATCTGAGAGCAGTGCAGTGCCTCTGAGAGAGCTCACTTCCTTCTATGCTGCAGCTTTCGGGATCCAAGCAGAATAAAAAAAGAAAAGAAACCCAGAAAGACGTAAGAAAACCATTCACGCCTTCAAGCTGTCTGACCTGCCCGTTTGAAGGGCAACGAAGCCAGTGGAAGCCTGAATCAAGCCCCCAACTGACACGCAAAGCACAAACTCTGCAGTCCACTTGAGCTAAGGCGCAATTGCCATGCCGCCAACCAGGGAGACAGACACTACACCGGAGCCTCAGCAACGTAAGAAGCACGTGCCAGTAAGTCTAGTGGGCCAGTGAAGCACTCGAATTCTTGACACATCTTGAAAAGATTTGAAAAGAAGAAATTCGGTGGTGACTTTTTTGATGTCTACCATTGTTTACCAGCGTTTACCCAAGCAGACTCTCGTCCGAGACACGGGGCGCCATTGTGTAAGGTCTCACACCTTTCCTTGCACAGCACGGGACCAAGGATCTGCAACATGTTGAGGTCAACATGCCGATCCAAATCTGGAGGGTTTTTCCATGTTTTTCCCCGCCTCCAAGTTTCGCACCGATGTTTAAGTGAACCAAATGGCTACAGAAATGGCTTTAGCAATTCATAGCAATTCAGAATGATCAGCATATGCTCAGTAAAGCCACTAGAGCCTTGCAACTTGGTGAATCATAAAGATTTCCGACAACTTCTGACAAGCAGGCCATCACCTCGTGAAGACTCTCCTGGCCAGTGAACATGGAGAGTTTAGACAGATAGGACATGATAGGACCACAAAGCATCGAGCAGCTCAGTATTTCTGCGTCAACAGAAGGCCTCCGATCCTCACATCATTGATGTAGTCCCCACCCATCGGCCAGATGTTGTGTCGATTTCGCTCTGAGGGTCAATGGCAGGAATCCGTTTTCAAGAATTGAGTTGCAAACTGACCTTGGCCAAAGTGTGCGAAGTAACAAGAAGGACAAACATTTAGTAACCTCGAATCTGCTTGCACCACAATCTATGAAAGCAAGTGGAAACAAGCTACGCAGCTACGCCCTTGAGCCGGTTCTTTGCAAGCAAAAGAGCTTCTGGGATGTGGCTGATCATGGCTGATCGGAAAATGTGTAAGAGTTGCCTGGGAAAATCTGGTCATCTCCTGCTTTTCTTAGGGACGGCAGAGCATTGCACCGCAGTGAAACATCTCGAGCCATGGAGCCATCTGTCAGCACCACAACTCTAGTAGCGGCAGCCAAGGTAAGACCACATTGAGAGGCTCAAGTGGCAGTTGTTCCAACAGCTCGGCTTCACCAGTTCCAATTGGTATGCCTTCTTAGCGCTCCATGTGGCTCTTGCAGCTTCGGTCTCAAGCCCTGCTGCACATAATGCTACAAATGCATGCAGTCTTCCAGCACAATGTGCAGGCGCAGTACAAGGATTGCAGGGAGGCCAAAACATCTAGTTTTTTTCCAAAGAAGGTTTCATATGGTTTTATGCAGCTTTTATTCTCTTATTATCATTGGATTTGGTCTTATGCAAGCAATCTCCAATAGTGCTGGGAGGTGAAACTCATCGCTCTTCAGCTTGGAAATCCTGACAGGTCAGCTCACTGATTCCAGGTCTCATACCATGTCCAGCGTGCAGGTCCCACCTTTATTTGCCTTTCCCCTTCTTCTTGGGCGCTGCAGCCTGGAACAAAACAAAGCCACCAGTCACTGACTGAGAATGATGAAAAAAAATGCTTCTCCCCCTGACAGTTGCTGCGCCTCAGGTGGTGCATTCTTTGCATCTTCTCTGGCCTATACAGTTATGTTTGCAGACAAGGGAAGAACTCATCCACAGCAAACCTCCACAAACTTCCTGCCTTCTCGCCCGTGATGAAGTGGTCGAAGGTTCGGAACTGATCGAGCTCTTCTTTCCTGCGCCAGGGCAACGTTTGGCTCACGGTGAAATGTAGCCGACCGCATCTGCAAAGTTCCCAAAATGCATCAGTTCGCTCCAGCAGAAAGGCGTTCTCGATAGTGGACCAATGAACTCTTGGACCTGTCAATCACGCCGAGCGAGTGAGCATATATTTCAAGATCCCTCTTTCAGGCAAACCCATGGTTCAGCCGACCCCAGAGCTGATGCAGCTGCCTTAAGAGGCCGGTTCTTCAGCTGCTGAACTCGTCGAGCTGTTAGGACTCGGTCTACCTTGCTGTTGAGATTTGTATATAGGTATCACCGATTTCTCCATGTAGGAGCCCAAGTAAAAAATAAGCCAAAACCCCAAGTAAAATATTTGCTGTAATTATATAAGCCATTCAGAATCATCTCAACTATAGCGAAAATACAAAATATGTCAAACTTCAAACTAGCAGAACTAGCAAGGAAATATGCTATCATCAGTGCAAAGGGAAGGGTGGAGCCACTTGTAGGGACTTGTAGTGGACCTGAATGGACTAGGGCTCCACACTGTCTGTTTAATTGACCCTGCAGGATAACCCTCGCTGACCTGACAGTGCAGTGAATGGGTTGGGTATAAATCGGAAAGCTGTCCGTTTCCACTTGAATGGTGACACTCCGCACATGTCAATGCACTTTGTCTCATTGTCATTGCTTCACAGGTTAAAAATGTGTCAAACCATCCTCTTTCGATTCCTCCAATCTCATTCCTGGTCATATTAAATACCTCCAACTTTGGAACCCATATTCCTGAATAGATTCCATCGAGTACAAAGGGGTATTTCATATTGAACCAAGGGAAGGGATAAGTCACTTTTCTAAGCAACTGGCTCTTGCAAGTGTCGAGATGTTCAGCTTCACTGGGTCCACTGTAACTCCATGGTCTTCCATGAAGCGTTGCCAAAGGACCACGCGGCTGCCGTATTCCGGGAAGCTCACCCACACCTGGAGGTAGCTGAGGTAGCTTATCTCGGATTTATGCTAGATATATCTGTATTCTATAGTTCATACAGGGATTAGGGAATATAAATTAGTATAAACCACCTTATAAGTGGAGGGATGCGGGTTGTTTAGCATGTGGATCTCTGAAAAGTTTGATAAAGATTGAAGCCGAACTGTTGGAGAACTGACCTGAGATGCTGAAATATGCTGAAATGATGAAATTCTCCAACTGTTTCAATATACGTTTTTTCAGACACTCGGCGTGAACTTAGAGTCTAACTTGAGAGGGGGGGGACGAAAGGTAGGGGGGGGCAAAAGAGAGCAACAGGAAAAATATTGCCAAACTGAGATTGATACTTCTCTTCACTCAAACCTCCTGCAGAAGAAAATGTTAGCCCCCAAAAAAGCTTTGTGGGAATAGAATCAGAAACATAATGTCAAATGTAAAGTAAGTAACTTCACGCGCGCGGACGTAAACATTGCGAGTCTCTATTCCCCGGCACGGCCTCAATGGGACTAGAACATCCACGATAGATCGATAGATCAATACATCGATAGATAGATAGATAGATAGATAAACATAGATAATACAGATAGAAGCATCGATCGATAAATAGATAGATCGATAGCTAAATAGATCGATAAAAAGATAGATAGATAGATAGATAGATCGATAGGTAGATAGATAGATACATAGAAGGATGGATAGATAAATAGATACATAGATAGACAACTAAATAGATAGATACATGGATAGATAGATGGATAAGGAGGTAAGTACATAGTCAGAGAAAAAGAAAGAAAGAGATGCGGACCAGGGGGGAATCGAATGGGGGGGGGCCCCCCGTGCCATTGACGGTTGGCGTCGATTTTGCGGCACCACTTCTTGTGCATGTAGGCAGGGTGGAATGGGTTAAGATGTCTCGATACATGTAGCTGTAACCTGCAACTCTCTTTATAGTGGCAATACTGCATAGGATTTATCTCCGGCGCCAAGCGCCACTTTCAGAGCATGGGTGCTTTGCATTGTGGCGCGCCTGGTCCATCGGCCTGACCATCGGCCTGTCCATCGGCCTCATAAGCTCCATCGGCTCCATCGGCCTCAACGGCTCCAGCGGCTCCATCGGCCTCATCGGCTCGCCTCATCGGCCTCATCGGCTCCAGCTGCTCCAGCGGCTCCATCGGCCTCATCGGCCTCATCGGCCTCAGCGGCCTCATCGGCCTCAGCGGCTCCATCGGCCTCATCGGCTCCATCGGCCTCATTCCTCGGCCTCATCGGCCTCAGCGGCTCCATCGGCCTCAGCGGCTCCATCGGCCTCATCGGCTCCATCGGCCTCAGCGGCCTCATCGGCCTCAGCGGCTCCATCGGCCTCATCGGCTTCATCGGCCTCATCGGCCTCATCGGCCTCATCGGCCTCATCGGCGTCATCGGCTCCAGCGGCTCTATCGGCTCCAGCGGCTCCATCGGCCTCATCGGCCTCAGCGGCGTCATCGGCTCCAGCGGCTCCATCGGCTCCAGCGGCTCCATCGGCCTCATCGGCTCCAGCGGCCTCATCGGCTCCATCGGCCTCATCGGCCTCATCGGCTCCATCGGCCTCAGCGGCTCCAGCGGCCTCATCGGCTCAATTGGCCTGATCGGCGCCAGCGGTTCCAGCGGCTTCATCGGCATGTCTTTCTGGAAAGCCTATTACGGCCCGAAGCAGGCGGAATCAGTTGCGTCCATTTTGCGCCTATGGTTTGCTTCGCTGCCTGTTGATTGGTATTGATCCATAGCCTCTTGGCTTGCGATATAGCCTCCAAGTGTCGAACGTACGGGGGGCCCCCCCCCCTAAGTCTCCGTTCGTGACTCTCGGCTTTCAATTTCCGGGAAAGGAGCAGCCACCTCCCCCAGTACTAAACTAGTACTAAAGTACATAGAACTCAGGTAGCCTAGGCTACCTTTCGTGAAAAGCGCATCAATCTTGGATCAACGAGTAAACCCAGGCACCTTCTCGTCGAAAGAATCCTTCAAACCTGCAATATCTACTCCATCTGCAAACGGCCTGGAGTGCACAAACCCAATGATCACAAAGGTCGCAAAGTCATCCGTTCACCCAAATTCAGGCGCATGTTTTCATATATTGCACTATATTACATTTAAGACTGTTTCTGATGTTATGTTTGATCTGATATGATATCGTATTATGTACATATGTATGTGTATATATATATATTATACATATACTTGTAATATGAATATAGTTATAATATGAATTTATATATATATATGCGCTGGTATGCAATATATAGACTCTATGGATGTGTGGGTTACCGCGACGTAAAACTGTTTTCATCCTCTCAACGTCTGCGCAACCACAACAATATATCATAGCATTATATATTGTAATACATCATATTGTATCATAGTGTAATACATTTACTTCACATTGTAATTATAGTCTGCTATGTTGTATTATATCGTATAAAAATATCTTATATTATATCGTGCTATAATATATCATATTGATCATATGGTATAACATACAAAAAATGTTGTTATATTATATCAGTTTACATTACACCACAGTATATTACATTAAACTGTATTGTAGTACAGTATTGCAGTATATCATATTGCAATATACAATGTTTTATCATGTTGATCTATGTTGCCGCATATCACAACATCAATTGAATCTATTTTAGATTGTGTTCATCATATCAAGATACATCAAGTTTTTGTTTGTCAAAGGAAGTTTAGTTAGAACTTCCAAGTTACGGACGGGTGTCCGGGGGCTGGTTCGTTGGTTCACTGAGTCATTAATTCATTGAGTCGTTGAGCCATTGATTCATTGATTTGTTGCTTCACATGTTTCATTCGTTCATTGCTTCTGTGGTTTGATTCATGGATTTGTTGATGTGCTGAATCATTGATCCACTGATTCATTGATTCGTTGAATCATGATTCATTGGTTCATTCAGTGAGCTGTGCATGGATTCTTTCATTTCATTGTCATCTCAACAACCATTTGCTCTTTCGTTGATGCGCCTCACAACTTCAACACTGCATGGCTTATGCATCGCAAAAGCTTTCCTACAGGCCATTGATTTCCTATAGCCATGTCCTATTCTCGAAACTTCCGCCCTTGCGCGGGCCAGGCGCTGCCTGGTAGTATATCGGAACATATTACAGTATATAGCATCGTATTATCATATTACATCATACCATGATATATTACAGAATGTCATCATATAACATCATGTCATACCACAAAATGTCACACCATCGTACCATACCATGTTGTATCATATGCAATATCATTTCATACATCATATATCATATATATCGTATATGACATACTGCAAATTTCAAAGCACATATTATCCAATATGTGTTGCATATTTAATTATATGTTATAAGTTATAAGTTATATATATATACGATGTATTAATATGTATTATGTATTGTGTATTATGTATGCCTGTGCATATATAATCATATATAATCATGCATACATATAGGAAGTCAATTAATATGTCAATATCCTACCAGTCCTGCAACTCAACCCTGGCACAAAACGCCACCTCGAGGTGCACCCGATGAAGAGAATCCGGTCTTGCTCATTGGCCTCTTCCAAAAGAGCTGAAAGAACATTGATTTTGGATATTTTGGTCCAGATGGGCTCCCTATGGCTACCAACAAAAAAGTGTGATTTCTCAACATTTTCTTTCAGTCGACCATAAAATTGGGTTCTTCCATTCTTCCATGTTCTTCCCACATCAACGGCCTTTGTTCGTGCTTTTGTTCATCCCCCATTTTGGGACGAACCCTGAGAGCATCAGTGCCTCGTCGAATCTCTTCACCTGATTGATAGCGGCCTGCAGGTCCTTCACCGCATGGTTGATTTGGAGATGCTGAGATGCTCATAGAAAAATCCAAAAAGATAGAGAAATGGTTTCCCATGATTTGAGCAGGATTTTACTGTTCGATCTTTTGGGGTACTGCTACATATTGATAAATTGGTGGGACCAACCGCAAAACACTCCCAAAGCCGGTGATATTAATGTCTTGTTCTTCGTTATGAAAATGGTGCATCCAATTTCATCCAACTTATATAACCAACCAGGGGTTTATGAATTCTGGAGTTGGCCAAGTACATCAAATCGATGTCTGGGACAGTGTGAAGGCAGTCCTTCTTGATCCTGCTGGGTGCTGTTCCGGTATCTGCACCTTTCTTCTTCTTCGTTGCCTGTGGTCACAGCATGTTATAGCCAGTTATAGCTGCTATTGCTATTGGTACCAACGGAAGATCTGCCTGGAACACTTGGTCGACCTGATCGATGTAGATCACGGATGGTGCCATGTCCTGCACGGCGCCGCGCTGCTCAGGTGGCAATGTTTCCCCCATCAGAGAACCGAAAGTGTGCATTGCCTGCGCGCAGATGAAGACTTTGTACACGAGCAAGGCAGAGCCTGTCTTGCCCTGCGTGCTTTTACCTGGACACGAAGAGGAAATATGCAAAACGCCGGGAAGGACAGCCAGAAATGTTCTTTGGGGGAAGGAACTGATTGTTTGAACTTAGTTTCAAGAGTCGGTTGGAATGAAACTCCACCTGCCTTCTATCACGGCTGGAGACAAATCGAAGAAAGTGGCACCTGGCGATGGGGTTGCACTGGGTATATTCATTGTCTCGCAAAACTTCCAAAAGAGGCAACACAAAGAGGCAAAGAGGCGAACAGAGAGATGGCTGGCAACTCATTTCATCACATTCCAGGATTGTCCAAATGTCTGGGTCACATGTGGAAGGTAAACACCACACGCAATACATTACGGGGCAAAACACAGGGCACCTTTTTGCTGCGATGAATCTTGGTGAAAAGCCGAGCTTCCAGAAAATTGTTTGCTGAAGTTTCTGCCGCATCCCAAGACACAACGAGATGGCTGAATACTCAGTGAACCAAAGAAACTTTGAGTCCAACATCCAAAATCTTGGCATAGTGACCACAGGGAAGCTGGACTTCGGGAGAAGTCCCCAGTGCGAAGGGTGACAAGCTTAGGCATTGTCACCTTCAATTTCCACACGTTTGGGGGAAAATCAAAGATATACAATATGTGCATCGCAGGTTGTGCGTTAACCAGAAATGATCAGCACCTTGTTCAAAACATAATAAACGGAAAGCCCATTGGACTTCGCTTTGGGCCTTGACGCCCGTTTTTTTTCTGCCTTGGGACTTTGCATGGCGCTTTTGTCAGACTTTTGGCCCGGGTTTTGTTTCGACTTTGCCACATAAGTTACCAAGGGAAACAACTCCAGGGGACGAAACCCGTTTACCCTTTTGACCCCTTTGACCCCTTTGAACTCTTTCAATCCTTTGACCCCTTTGACCCCTTGGACCCCTTGGGCCCCTTGAACCCCTTGAACCCCTTGGATCCCTTTGAGCATTGGTGAAACACCCTTCCGGAAAAAAAAACACATTAAAAGATTGAAACTGATGTCAAAGGATTGTTCGTTTAGAACATTGTGAGGAAGTAACCAGGGGAACAAATTTAAGAAGTTGGTTAATGAACACGTTTTCGAGGCTCCGCGGCTAGCTTTGGAACTAGTTTCGTGCAGCTTCAGAAAGCAACGTTAGGCGCCACCAGCCGTATGTCAAATGAACCAGTCCGGCCTTCACTTTCATGCTGTTTGGAAATGGCGGGCCCATCGCTTTGCGAGGCCCGGCGGCTAGCTTTGGAGCTAGTTTCTTGCAGCGTCAGATAGCAATGTTAGCACCACCAGCCGCCCCGTCCGGCCTTCACTGGGGGCCTAGCGCTTTTTGAGGTTCGGCGGGTAGTTTTGGATTTCTTGCAGCGTGAGAAAGCAACGTGAGGCAACACCAGCCATATGTCGAATGACCCTCGCCGGCCTTCACTTTCATGTGTTTGTAACTGGCGGGCCAACGCTTTTCGATGCCCGGCGGCTAGCTTTGGAGCTAGTTTCTTGCAGCGCCAGAAAGCAATGTTACACACCACCAGCCAAATGTCGAATGACCCTGTCCAGCCATCACTAAGGGCGTTTGGAACTGGCAAGCCCAGAGGCTCGGTGGTAATCAAACCTAGCCAAGATCTTGTCATTCATTCTCATGCCCTGGATCACATGTTGCGCGCACATAATCGCATTTTTAATGTGCATCGCAGGTTGTGTGTTAACCAGAAATCATGTTGGTTTTGGCTATTTGCTCTTAAGTTTTCATGCAGAACCTGCAGTACAGCGAAGCAGAGCAAACGCTACGTCTTCGTGGAGTATCCGCTATTTCACTTTGTCGTCGGATCTGGCGGATGCGGATGCAGCTTGGCTGTGAGATGGGAATGATGCAAAGTGAAGCTTGATGCAAAGCAGTAGAAATCAGTAGACTATGGGGCTTCAGTGGTTTTATGGGGCTTCCTTATCTCCTTTCAACATCATTCAACTGTCCTGAAGAGAAGAGGCGGACAACAATGGGCAACATGCAAAAAGGGATCATCTGTGAAGCCCTGCCTACATGGTCTCCGTGATAAGACCCTGGCCGATGGTCTTACCACCCTGAGCAAGAGAGGTTGTTTTTTGCCGTTGCTTAGTGCCAACCAAACGTTTTGATGACAGTCTGTCTTGCGAATCATATGTATGTTGTCGTTTGATACAAATATGATAAGAGTCTGGGCAATCACAGTAACCACAAGCCATCCAGTCCTCACGCATGGCGAAGCGCATGCCCTTCTCAATGGGGGTGGCGGCAATGAGCTCGCATTCGCAGGTGACGTCATCTCCTGGCATGGCCATCTGCACCTCACTTCCTTCAGAGCTGGTCATGCCCTCAATTTTGCCGGTCACATCGCAGGTGCGGAAGTAGAAGACAGGCATGTATCCAGGCATCACTGGGTTGTTTCGGCCACCCTCGTCCTTCTTTGCAAAGTAAATGTTGGCCTTGAACTTGGTGTGAGTTGTCGTGGCACCTGGTGCGCAAATCACCTGACCACGGAACACTGCATCCTTCTCGATACCACGGCACAGCACGCCGACCGTGTAGCCAGCTGGGCCTTCTGGGAGATCTGTGTTGAACATTCGAATGCCGGTGATCACGGACTTCTGAGGTTTCTTGCCACGGCCCAAAATCTCCACCTCGTCACCCTTCTTCACAATACCCTGCTCAACTCGGCCAGTGCACACAGTTCCTCGTCCTGAGATTGAGAACACGTCCTCCACAGCCAAAAGGAATGGCTTGTCGGTGTCACGCTCTGGGGTTGGAATGTAGTCATCCACGGTCTCCATGAGCTCCAGGATCTTGTCAACCCACTTGTCCTCACCTCAGGCTTGGAAAGTCGTTTCAGCTTCAATTCAGTCACCCTTACACTGCAGGTTGGGATGGTTAGGCACAGAAGCTTATATAATCTAGCATATATATATATATATACATATATATATATATATACATATATACATATATATATATATATATACATATATATATATATACATACAATGTAGAATATACACAGGTTGGCACTTTGCTGAGCCATGTGCCCTTCTTGGTTCCTGGATTGCTCTTCATTGCTTCCAGGGCTTGCAAGGCAGATCCTGCAGGAGTCCATGCGTAAACAGCCGTAAACATGTAGACAGTACACCATGAAACAGTTCAAAACAAGGTGGGCCAGAGAACCCAAAAGCAAGGCGACCCACAGCACGCCCTTTTTTAAAAATATTGCGGCGTGGGCAGCTGTGCTCTGCACAAAATCGACGTAAGATCTTTGCTGAAACATCGTACGTACTGATGGTATCAGGGGCCACAATTCACCACAGCATGCTGTGCCAGCTACGTCTACATTCTTCTAGCCGCTATTTCTGCTAATGTAATGAAATCGCTATTTATTCCTGGGTTCTCGTTTAGTTTGCTTCGCTGGAGAGGGAGCGAGGACGAAGCGTGGACGGACAGAACACCGCGCGACATGAAAACTCAACGACGGAGGGAGTTGACCAAAAGAGCATGAAAACGAAGATATGAAGATGACAAATGGTGAATGATCATGAAAAATGAGACATGATGAAAGATGGGTAAAGACTTCTCTGTACAAAAGTTTCTATGCGTAAAAGCTACTGTGTGTAAACGCGTCAGTGCGTACAAGTTTCTCTGTGAAAAAGTTCCTCTGTGTAAAGGTGTTTTTGTAAATTTCTGTGCGTAAAAACTTCTGTGTAAAAGTTTCTGTGCGTAAAAGTTTCTGAGCGCAACAGGTTCTGTATGTAAAAGTTTCTGTGGGTAAAAACTTCTCTGTGTAAAGGTTTGTTTGTGTAAAGGCTTCTGTGTGTAAAAACTTCTGTGTAAAACGTCCCCTGTGTGTAAAAGTTTCTGTTTCTGAAAGTTTCTTTGCGTACCAGCTTCTGTGTGTAAAAGCTCCTCCGTGAAAAAGTTGCTCTGCGTAAAAGGCTTCTTCTCTGTGTAAAAACCTCTGTGTGTGTGCGCAAGCTTCTCTGTGCCAAGACTTCTTTGTGTAAAGACTTCTCTGTGTAAAAGCTTCGCTGTGTAAACGCCTCCGTGTGTAAAGACTCCTCTGTGTAAACCCGTCTGTGTGTAAAAGCTTCTCTGTGTAAAGGTTTTTTTGCATACTTCTGTGTATCAAAGCTTCTGTGTGTAAAAGTTTCTGTGCGTAAAAGCTTCTGTATGCAAAAGAATTTTTGTGTAAAAAAATCTTTGCGTAAAAGCTTCGGTGTATAAAAGCTCTCCAATGTGCACAAGCTTCGCTGCGTAAAAGCTGCTCTATGTAAAGTCCTGTGCGCCGTAAAGTTGTCTGTTTGTAAAACCTTCTGTGTGTCAACGTGTCTGTGTGTACAAGATTCTGCGTGCAAAAGCTCCTCTGTGTAAGGACTTCTCTGTGTAAACGCGTCTGTGCGTAAGAGCTCCTCTGTGTAAAGACTTCTCTGTGTAAACGCGTCTGTGCGTAAAAGCTTCTCTGTGTAAGACTTCTCGGTGTAAAAAGCTTCTGTGTGTTAAAGCTTCTGTGTATAAAAGCTTTCCTGTGTAAAGTTTCCTTGTGCAAAGGCTCCGGTGTGTAAAAATTTCTCTGTGTAAAGGTTTTTTTGTGTAAAAGCTTCCGTGTGTAAAAGCTGCTCTGTGTAAAAGTTTGCGTGCGCCGTAAGAGCCTCTATTTGCAAAACCTTCTGTGTGTAAACGTGTCTGTGTGTGAAAGCTTCTGTGTGTAAATCTCCTTTGTGTAAGGACTTCTCTGTGTAAAAGCTTCTCTGTGTCAAGACTTCTCTGCATACAAGGCTTCCCTCTGTAAAAGCCTCTGAGTGTACAGGCTTCTCTGTGTCAAGACTTCTGTGTGTAAAGACTTCTCTGCGTAAAAGTTACTCTGTGTAAAAAAAACTTCTGTGCATAAAGGCTTCTGTGTGTAAACGCGTTCTTGCGTCAAGACTCCTGTGTGTAAACGCGTCTGTGTGTCAAAGTTTCTGTGTAAAGGTTTTATTGTGTAAAAACGTCTGTGTGTAAAAGCTTCTGTGTGTAAGAGCTTCTCTGTGTAAAGGCTTTCCAGTGCTGAAGCTTCTGCGTGTAAAAGCTTCTGTGTGCAAAGCTCCTCTGTGCGGTGCGTAAACGTTTTTTGTGTGTAAAACCTTTGTGTGCAAAAACTCCTCTGTGTAAAGACTTGTCTGTGCAAACCCGTCTGTGCGTAGAAGCTCTGCTGTGTAAGACTGCTCGGTGAAAAAAGATTCTCTCTGATCTGTAAAAGCTTCAGCTTCTGTGTGTAAAAGCTTCCTTGTGCAAAAGCCTCTATTGCTAAAAACTTCTCTGTGTAAAGGTTTTTTGTGTAAAAGCTTCTGTGTGTAAAAGCTGCTCTGTCTCTGCGCGCCGTAAACGCTTCTGTGTGTAAAACATCCTGTGTGTAAACGCGTCTGTGTGTAAGAGTTTCTGTGTGAAATTCCCGTTTGTGTATGGACTTCTCTGTGTAAACGCTCCTCCGGATAAAGACTTCTCTGTGTAAAAGACTTCTCTCTGTAAAAGCCTCTGTGTGTATAAGCTTGTCCTACTCTGCGTGAAAGCTTCTGTGCGTGGATACTTCTGTGTGTAAACGTATCCGTGTGTAAACACTCCTCTGTGTAAATGCGTCTGTGTGTCAAAGCTTCTGTGCGTAAAAGCTTCTGTGCGTAAAAGTTTCTGTGTAAACGCTTTTGTGTGTAAAAACTTCTGTGTGTGAGAGCTTCTCTGTGTAAAGGCTTCTGTGTGTAAAAGTTTCTGTGTTTAAAAGCTCCTCCGTGTGTACAAGCTTCTCTGTGTAAAAGCTCCTCTGTGGAAAGACTTCTCTGTGTAAAAGACTTCTCTGTGTCAAAGCCTCTGCGTGTACAAGCTTTTCCGTGTAAAAGCTACTCTGTGTAAAAGCTGCTCTGTGCAAAAGGCTTCTGTGTAAAAGCCTCTGTGTGCGCGTGTGAGTGCAAGCTTCTCTATGTCAAGACTACTCTGTATAAAGACTTCTCTGTGTAAAAACTTCCGTGTGTAAAACCTTTCCTATGTAAAAGTTTCTCTGTGTAAAAGACTCTGTGCGTAAAGTCGTCCCTGTGTACAAGCTTCTCTGTGTAAAAAAATCCTCCGTGTAAAGCTCCTCTGTGTAAAGCTCCTCTGTGTAAAAGCTGCTCTGTGTAAAACCCGTGCCAACAGCTCCGCATTTTCAGTGCCACTCCCTCCCAGCAGAGCTCTTCCCAAGCTATTTCCCCACCTGTCCGTTCACGCTGATGCATATCCTATGCTTGGGTTCTCGTTTAATTTGCCTCGCTGCGAAGGGAGCGAAAACCAAGCATCGACGGACAGAACGCCGTGCAAAATGAAAACTACTCCAGCAAAGAACTTTTTCCCATGCATGTTCTTTTGCGCAGCGTTTAGACACCGTTTGAGAAGTCTTTGGCACCGCGTTGATGGAATTTGTCCTGAAAAATCCGTGCCAACAGCTCTGCTCTTTTAGTCTCGCTCACTGCCAACGAAGCTATGCATGTCCCATGGCCCATGGGTTTGGAAACTTTGGCAAGAATTGGGCACACAGTTCTTCGGAACAATCGTATTGATGAAATTTGTCCTGAAAAACCTCTGCCGACAGCTGTGCATTTTGGTGTCGCTCCCTCCCTAAGCAGCTCTCCCCAAGCTATTTCCATGTCTTGGAATTAGAGTTTTTCAGGGCAATCGCATTGATGGAAATTGTCCCGAAAACCCGTGCCACCAGCTTTGCATTTTTGCATCGCCCCCTCACAGCGGAGCTCCCCCCAAGCTATTCCCACGCTTCACAATCCATGCACGCTCGTCTGGCGTTCCCGCCTCGCTCCCTCCAGCGGAGCTCTCCCCCCAAGCTATCTCCAAGCTTCACAGTCCATCATGTTGTCCGGCGCTTCCATCTCGCCCCCTTCAGCGGAGGTCCCCCCAAGCTATTTCCACGCTTCTTCAGAGCTATATCAAGCTATTTCCACGCTTTCCACTCTGTCCGCGCTCGTGCCTTCCTTCCTTCCTTCCTTCCTTCCTTCCTTGCTTGTCCAGCTCTTCTGTCTCGCTCCCCTCGCAGCAAAGTAAACTAAACGAGAACCCAAGCATCGGAGATGCTTTTGGGAAAAATGCACTAACAAATTGAGCGTTCACGGTTCTTTGACATGATTTGCAAAGCCTTGGATGAATGGGGTGTCATCGCCAGGGAAGCCGTATTGGCTCAACCTCAGCATACTTCTTCAATTATTATCTGTGTGTGTGTGTATCCCAACTGTGGGCTCGACACTGATTGAACATTGATAATATTTGATAATTGATCATCGAGTCGCAAGAAGAATCACGTGTACTGAGCTCCAGTCATCTCGCGGGTTTCAAGCTCAACCAGCTCCAAAAGCTCCTCATCATCCATCATGTCAACCTGGAAGCAGCGTGCTTTTGACAAAAGGATCAAAAGGCATGAAGTTGGACAGTCGAAATTGTTGCTTCTGTGCAACTGCACCAATTTCAATGACGTCTGACAGCAAGCAGCTGTGTTCTTCAATTTAATGAAATGTAAAATGTACGGCATCTGATCAGAAGTTCGAAGGCAATCTTGGTTTTGATGCAGGCAGTTATGACGAGAACGCCACTCACCTTGTTCATGAAGCAGACAAGCTTTGGCACACCCACCTTGCGGGCTTGCAGTATGTCCGTTTATTGCTAGCAATTTTCATCAGAATTCTCAAATATTCTCAACTATTCTCATGTTGGCTGCGCCGTGAGTGTTGGGTTATCTTGATTATCTCTCACTCTGTGGCTCTGGCCTGCTTCGACAGAAGAATGTGCTCACGAGTCTGAGCCATGGGTCCATCTGGTGAAGAGATCACCAGAATTCCTCCATCCATCTGGCATGCTCCTCGCACATTGGTGGCAAAACCACTGTCCAGGATAGGAGCCAGCAATCTTGACCCTCATTCACTGCTCAACTGTCCATCCACAAATGCACGTCCTGTGATCATGTTCTTGACATAATCTGCGTGTCCAGGGCAGTCCACGTGGCAGTAGTGCCTAGTACACAGGGCAACTCTTTGACAGAACGTGACAGAACACTTGTTAAATGAGGCTCAATGCACTTCCAAAGGAAGCCTTCACACCGGTATTGTTGAAACAAGCATGGGTCGGCTCTGCTGATGCAAAGCAAGGACTCAACAAGACCGAAGCAAACGAAGAGAGGAGCCTGTTTGGAGTCTCGTACTCAATGTGGGAGGCATTGATAGTGATACCACGGGAGCGCTCCTCCGGAGCGTTGTCGATCTCCTGTTCAAGAACACACTAGGCAAGAAGCAAAAAGCACAAATACGATCATGTAATTTAATGTATGTACAAGATCATATATATTTCCGGATTCTGCTGCAGCTTGCTGATCAACGCTCTTCAATTTGAAATCTTATGAGTCAGCCTCATAGGACTTCTGCGCAGTGTCACCAGACGTGCTGAACCTCAGGTTAAATATATATATATATATAAATTCACTGGTTCAAGTCTTTTCGTAAGAAAATGACTGCTGACTCTGACAGTCTCTTCATTACAAGCTGACATGCACATAAATTTTGTATAATTTCATTATCAGGGCGTAACTTGGGCCGAAACTGGCCGCAGACCAGAGAAATTGCGGCTGACAGAGTGGTCTTGCCGTGGTCAACGTGGCCAATGGTGCCGATGTTCACGTGAGGCTGCAAGCGGGACAAACTTCAAAACCAGGAGGACTGCGATGAACTCTGAGCACAGCTTGACCAAACATCGAGTCTAGTTGTGTTTGACATCACGACCTTGGCATCGGCACGACGGACCACTGCTGAGGCCCTTGACTGGCCCACCTCATTGCCAGCCAAGCTTGGACTGCTTTGCCCGTCTGATGAACATGTGACATCATGTGACCAAGCATCACTGCCAAGCCAGTACCAAGCTCCGGGCTTTACGGCTGCTTCGGCTCAACCCAGCTGCCTGTTACAAACTATGCAAAGAAGCTCGAAGACTCTAAGCCAAGTTAGAGAAACTGCAGAGAGCAGTCGCTGCTCGAACTGAAAATGGAAATGCTGACTTTGGTGAGGTCCAAACTCCGACTGCTGCAGCACCAAGGACGAGTGCCTCAGCTGCTCTCAAATCGTTGAAAATGTTTGTCCATGAGCTCTTCACAGCTCTGATTTTCCATCCTCGAAATATGTCGACAATTTCCTACCATGCCCGAGCCATGGATTGCCCCAAAACGTTGGGAATTTCAACTCAGGACTACGATCTCTCTTCATGGCAAAGCAAAACAGACTTGCCATGACTTGCCCGTGCAGAAAATGCATCACAACAACAGTTTGTATTAGTTCGCTCGACTATGCATCACTAGATTTAAACCAGGCACGTACGGCATGGTTGCGCCGGATGAGGATGTTCCGCTGCTGTTGGCTGCCTCAGTAAGGGATCCAGCATCAACTGGAGAATTCCAGGTTTCTGTTCAAACTAAAAACTGGATACTGAGAACGGCGCACTGCCTCTGAGAGAACTCACTTCCTGTCACACGAATTTCCAAAGAAACAAACACAAAAGACGGGCCTTGCCGATGCCTGTGGTTTCAACTTGTCTGGACTGCTCGTTTGCAGGGAAACGAATCCCGTGGAGGCCTCAGGGAGGACACTTTTTTGTCTGAAAATTTCGGGCAAAACACCATTCCATCCACTGGTTCCAAATCATGTTCCCTATTATTTTGATAGCCATAAATTGGGGGTCAATCCCCCATTGCCCATTGTCAGACACACCCCATGTCATTTGAAGTTGGTTGCATATCCCATCATCTCATATCATATGTTCATATCATTTCAAATCATTTCATATCATGCCATATCATATCAATCTATCATTCATATCTATCTATCTATCACTCATATCTATCTATCATTCATATCTATCTATCATTCATATCTATCTATCATTCATATATATATATATCATTCATACCTATCATTCATATCTACCTATCTATCTATCTATCTATCTGTCTATCTATCTATCCATCTACCTATCCATCTATCTACCTATCTATCTATTCATCCATCCATCCATCTATCTATCTCCCCAATCTTATCTTATCTTATCTTTTCTGTCCAATCCTATCTATCCCATTTATCCTCTCTATCATTTCTATCCTATGTTTCCTTTGCATACTATCTTTCCTATCTATCTATCTATCAATCTATCTATCTATCTATCTACCTACCTACCTATCTATTTATTATCTATCTATCTATCTATCTATCTACCTATCTCTCTCTCTCTATCTATCTCCCTCTCTCTCTCTCTCTATCTATCTATCTATCTATCTATCTCTCTCTCTCTCTCTATCTATCTATCTATCTATCTATCTACCTACCTACCTACCTACCTATTCATCCATCCATCCATCCATCCATCCATCCATCCATCCACCCATCCATCCATCCATCCATCCATCCACCCATCCATCCATCCATCCATCCATCCATCCATCCATCCATCCATCCATCTGTGTGTATCATTATTGCATTGTATTATTATATCATTATATCATCATATAATATCATAATATCATTATTTACTTATATTATCAAATCATTATTAATTACATTGTTTAGGCTGACGTCGTCCAATACGGCCCCGGGGAATTCATGCATTTTTGTACGATGCACGTGATCATGGGGTTGGGTCTGGGGTGGGGCTGCAATGACGTTGTGATGTGATGTAAGACATGTTGTGATCTTACGCCAGAGATGGGGTTGTCCAGCTTGGGACACCTGGCGTCAGAGAGATGACAAACCCCCGCAGAGAAGAGTCAAGAAACAGGCCTTGCAAGACAGTTCCACCGTGGCTGCAGTGTCAGAGATGTGCTTTCCTGTAGGTCTAGATATTTCTGGTTGTCTGGAATTTATGAATATGTATATATATATATATGTATATAAGAATCAGTGTACATGTCCAAGTATGCAAGGTATGTGTCTATGTCTGGTCTATCATGTATGCAACACGATCCTAACATACTCCTGGCTTCCATGCGTTTTTTTTCTCGCTCTTTTGCACATGGACCTGTAAAACCCATTGTGAATAGCACAAAATGGACACAAAGTGCTGTAAAACGCAAGGCATTTGAACATGGCGCAAAATCCATGGTGAGAGAAAGTGCCATAGGGGTTGTCGAAATAGCAAGATGCTTGTTGTCAAAACAAGCAAAATCAGCGGGACCGCAACGGACGACGTTACCTTGTTTATTCATTCATATCCCAAATATCCCCATGATGGATGGTTTTATACCGTCATCTTCAGGTATACCACACCCAAATGGACATCGCCAGGGTGCAATAGCCATGCTGCCAACCACCGCGACGGACACGGCGCCAGAGCCTGGGTACTGGCAACCTCCCAGAGATAGGCATCTCAAAGCAGCATTCTGAGCGGGTCACGAGCCATTCTTCAAGGGACACAGTGACAGAAACCTCGTTTTTCTGCACACAATATGGATCAATATGGGACATGTGAAGGCCCTTCACGGTTTTCATGCATCTTTGTGCATTCCGACTGCTTGAAATGCCAAGCCACTCAGCTTTGAGGTTCACCAGCACAGCTGAACCAAATGGCTACGGGTCAGACATCACTTCCTGATGCTTTGTGACTTTCTGTGGTTTATAGTTTATTCTACAACTCCCACCAACCAATGCAACCAAAATTGGCCGCTGGCCAAAATGTTGCAAAGTCTCTGACTGCCAGAAGCGAACCGGTTGCACCTGTCTCAGCTGCAATGGCTCTTGCAAGCATTGACTTTCCACCTTACTTCACAAGCCGTTCCCTTGGCTGCCAAAAGAGGCTGCCGTGCATCAATATGATTCAACATGTTCATGCGCCTTGCCCTACAGTCTTGCTTGGTGCTGTAAATCCTTGTTTCTTTGCTGATCTGGGTCTCTGCTTGTCTCCACTTGATGTTGGCAACCTGCTTCCTCAAAATTGATTTCTGTTCAGCCCCTGCCACTTCCACACTTCCGAAACTCTGATCCACCGTTTCCGGACTGATTCCCAGCTCATACTCAGGTCACTCTCAAATCACCAAGCCCAACACTTCCTTTTGGCCCATAGAGCAGCAAAGACCTGTCCAGGAAAATGCTGAAGAATAATCCAAATGCTGAAGAATAATCCACCATTGGTCCATGACATCACAACAACTGTCAATCAAAAAGTTCGGGCACCTGGCTGTTAGACCTTTTGGCGCTTTCTGCCGAATGTCTGTCTGCGCCTACATGCAAGAGCAGAGATGGAGCCAGAACGTGCCACTTTGATCTTCAAACAGTGTCTTCAAAGGACAAAGGAATTCATTCACCTGGCACCAACTCAAAAGTAAAGGCTCACATTCTTGAAACCCGTAGCGCCGTAGAGACTTTACCAGGCAACTCTGATGTGCAAGTGCCATCAGCTTGAACTTTCGTGTATGGATCCGATGGATCCTTCTGTTTTGTTGTCGTGGATAGCCATCTAGACCTGCACCTGTATGAGGCTTGACGTTTTGCATGTCTAAGGCCGGTTCCAGTGGCAGCACGCAGTGCTCAACCAAGAGCGACCTGTCGGACAAGGCGGGCAGAGCCAGTGAGTCCATCTGCACTCAACAAGAGTTTGAACACGTTGCTGAAGATTGGTGAATATTATACTGAATATCGTTGAAAAAACATGGCATGATGGCCTGATCATTTGAGCAGAAGGCGGGGGGCAGAAGGTGTACTGAGGACTGCGTTGCATTGCCTCAGCAAAGAAACCATGCTCTTCAAGCTTTAAAACGGCACGTTTCCTGCTGCACACTGCCAATATCAGGACAACTAAGCTGTTGACACCCAAAAAGTGGTACTCCCCTAGGAAATCCTTCAGGACAAGAAAATGTTTCAGTGCAGTCCAAATTGAGACTGTCTGAAATTCCAACCTCAGTAAGTTGTAAGTTGCAAAGTGCTCCTCCAGTTTGGAAGGCCCGACCTTCTTGAGAATCCCCTGCTCCACTAGGTCTGGCCTGGGCAAGGAGGATGACTTGCATTTGGGTCTGAAAATTGGGGATGACCATCCATCTATGGCCATCAAGAAAGAAAGAAAGAAAATATGGGACCGGGAAAATGATGATTAATCAGTGGATTTTGGGGTTACACGGTTTTCAGACCCGTTTGCTCTCCAAGCTCCATGCACGCAGTCTTCACGGTTGGTGATCATACCGACCTTGCCACAGGGAAGGCAGTTGGATGAATCTCACCTTAAGCCCCCAATGCTAAGTATCAAGCAGCCGCACACCACTTCTTTGGTGGCTTAGGCCTAGGACAGAGAGATTCTCAATGGCAAACCAGGAGGGCAGTTACATCATTCTGAAGGGATTCCTGCAGCACAGGGCCAAGCTTCTTCGGTTTCTTTGGTTTTGGAGGCTTCTTTCGACCTTTCTTTACCTGAGCATTCTCTGAGCCAAGACCGAAGGCGGTATGGAAAACCATATCAAGCTGCTCAGCTTTACTTGTGACCAGTCCTGTCACGTCCCTTTGCCCACGCCTCATCAAACAGAATCTTGAGGTTTGCCAACTCCTGCAGAGTCGGTCAGAATACCCCGCACGCAGCTTGACATTGCGAACTCAGGATAATATGTTGCATGGGAGTCCTCACATCTAAAGTCGTCTAAATGTAAGTGCTTTAGTATTTTAATATAGCATATAATAAATATACAGTACATATTATGTACAAGTAGTACCCGGGCAAGCCGGGGGCGGAAGTTTCAAATTTGAAACGATCATGGCCTATAGAGCTGAGCAAAGGCTGTGCCTATAGGTGACAGGCAGGTCTTCTGTGCTTCGTGGCAACAAGCTCATTTTTTCGAATGTTGAATTATTTCTCCTTTCATCTGATCTCATCGCATCGCAGCGTCTCTTGGAAATTGCTCACTGCATCCCACTGTCACCGCAGTCTGTGTCATGCCATCTCATCTCCATCTCATCTCAACTCATCTCACGTCTTCTGAGTTTTTTCACCGAATTTCAGCTCTTCGCAGCTCATGTAATCTTATCTCAGCTTGTTTGATGTCATTTCATTTTCTTCGAAATCAACTTGATCTCTTCTGGTATTTCATGGTTGTTCATCTCATGTCAAAACATCTGATCCCTCATCAGTTTTTCTTACCCACTTGCCATTCAATTTCTTTCCCAAACCCAACAAGACACCGCAGCAGTTTTTTCCATGCAGACTACACAAAAAGTTCAGAGTAGTTGTTCGCGTGGTCTCTGATCCGTGGGTGCATTGGGATACACACAGCAAGCCTGCACGCAGAGAAGCTCCTACACAGAAAGGTTTTTACACAGCGAAGCTTTTACAGCAAATTTTCACCAGAAGTTTTTACACACTGAAAACTCTTTACACATGACCAGCTTTTACACAGAGCAAGCTCTTACACAGAGAAGCTTTCACACAGAGAAGCTTTTACACGGAGAAGCATTTACAGAGAATATTTTACACACAGCAAGTTTTTAAACTAAGATTTGCTAACAAATCACTATCGCAGCCTTGAAGCAGCCACTCCAACACGATTCACGATGTCCAGCTGCAAAAGACAATAGTATTACGCACGCAGCCGCGGCGCCAAGCAACCTCGACGCAGCCATTACAATGCGATTTGCAGAGGCTGAGTTGCAAAACACAATAGAACTACGCGCAGCGGCATCAGAAATTGCAGCTCCAAAACCGCCAAAGCAAACTAGACGATGGTTGGCCCGAGAGCGAGTAGGTGTATAGGTGCTCAGATCTGTTGTGTGGTTGTATGATTTGCAGACGCCAAAGACTTGCATGAATATGTTCATGAGAATGTTACTTGAGATCATGTGAATATGTTCATTATGTGTAGATGTCAAGATAAGAAGATGTGAAGATGTCAGGGTTTTAGTTGCAAAAGAGACAGACAAGGTATGCTGTACAGCAGGTTATTGAAGATGTGAAAAATACAAACATACAGATATGCTGAAAGGCTCCCAAACACAGACACACGCCAAGAAACATGTTTACACATATATACACTCAGACACACACACACACACAGCAGCTTTTACACACAGAAACTTTTACACACAGAAGCCTGTACACACAAAAATTTTTACACAGAAGCTTTTACACACAAACACTTTTACACACAAAAGCTTTTACACACAGAAGCTTTTACACACAGAAGCTTTTACACACAGAAGCTTTTACACACAAAAGCTTTTACACACAAAAGCTTTTTCGCACAGAAGATTTTTCCCATACACTCAGACACTTTTACACACAGACGCTTTTACACACAGACGCTTTTACACACAGAAGCTTTGACACACAGCAAGCTATTACACACAGAAGTTTTTACACACAGGCGCTTTTACACACAGACGCTTTGACACACAGACGCTTTTGCACGCAGAAGCTTTTTACACACAGAAGCTTTTACACACAGAAGCTTTTTACACAGAGGCACTTTTACACACAGCAGCTTTTGCACACACAAGTTATTACACACAGACGCTTTTACACAGAAGCTTTACACACAGACGCTTTTACACACAGAAGCTTTTACACTCAGACACTTTTACACACAAACGCTTTTACACACAGACACTTTTACAATAGACACTTTTACACACACAAGTTATTACACACAGACGCTTTTACACACAGAAGCTTTTACACACAGAAGCTTTACACACAGACGCTTTTACACACAGAAGCTTTTACACACAGACACTTTTACAATAGACACGTTTACACACACAAGTTATTACACACAGACGCTTTTACACACAGAAGCTTTTACACACAGAAGCTTTACACACAGACGCTTTTACACAGAAACTTTTACACACAGAAGCTCTTGCACACAGAAGCTTTTACACACAGAAGCTTTTACACACAGAAGCTTTCACACACAGAAGCTTTTACACACAGACGCCTTACACAGAAGCTTTTACACGCAGAAGCTATTACACACAAAAACTTTTACACACAGAAGCTTTTACACGCAGAAGCTTTTGCACACAGAAGCTTTTTACACACAGACACTTGTACACACAGACACATTTACCCACAGAAGATTCTACACACAGAAGCTTTTACACACAGAAGCTTTTACACACAGAAGCTTTTACACTCAGACACTTTCACACGCAGACGCTTTTACACACAGAAGCTTTTACACACAGACGCCTTACACAGAAGCTTTTACACACAGAAGCACTTTTAGACACAGACACTTTTACACACACAAGTTACTACACACAGACGCTTTTACACACAGAAGCTTTTACACACAGGAACTTTTACACTCAGACACTTTCACACGCAGACGCTTTTACACACAGAAGCTTTTACACACAGACGCCTCACACAGAAGCTTTTACACACAGAAGCTATTACACACAAACACTTTTACACACACAAGTTATTACACACAGACGCTTTTACACACAGAAACTTTTACACACAGAAGCCTGTACACGCAGAAGCTTTTTACACAGAGGCACTTTTACACACAAACACTTTTACACACAGAAGCTTTTACACACAGAAGCTTTTACACACAGACACTTTTTTCACACAGAAGTACCATTTTACGTCAGTTTTCGACGATCAAACTTCATTTCGTGGAAAGGGTTGCGCCGGACCCGTGAATATTGAATTTTACTTCCGTTTTCGGCGATCGAACCTCATTTCGTGCGAAATGGTTGCGACACCAACACGTCAAAATCGCACTTTTACCTCAGTTTTTGGCGATGGACCCCTGTTTCGTGCGAAAGGGTTGCCGCGGCACACTCAAAATCGCAATCTTACTTCAGTTTTTGGCGATCGGATTTCATTTCGTGCGAAAGGATTGCGACCGACACTGCGAAATCGCATTTTTATTCAGTTTTTGGCGATCGAACCTCGTTTTGTGCGAAAGGGTTATCGCGGCACACTCAAAATCGCAATTTTACTTCAGTTTTTGGTGATCGAACCTCATTTCATGCGAAAGGGTTGTCGCGGCACACTCCAAATCGCAATTTTACTTCGCTTTTTCGCGATCGAACCTCGTTTCGTGCGAAAGGGTTGCCGCCGAGGTTGTAAAATCGCAATTTCACCACTATATTAGAAGAACCCTTCGCTCAGACGCTCTCGGGAAAAGGAGAATCAACAGCGCCAACATTGAGAAAATCTGCTACAGATCAGTATCGCAGCCTTGATGCAGCCACTCCAATACGATTCACGATGTCCAGCTGCAAAAGACAATAGTATTACGCACGCAGCCGCGGCTCCAAGCAACCTTGACGCAGCCATTGCAATGCGATCTGCAAAGACTGAGTTGCGAAGTACAATAGAACTACGCGCAACAGCGTCAGAAATTGCAGCTCCAAAACGCATTTCGTGCGAGACTTCCCTCAAAATCTGAAAGTGGCAGATATGAAAATGAAGCTTTTGTGCGAGACTTCCCTCAAAAACTGAAAGTGGCAGATGTGAAAACGAAGCTTTCGTGCGAGACTTCCCTCAAAAACTGAAAGTGGCAGATGTGAAAACGAAGCTTTCGTGCGAGACTTCCCTCAAAATCTGGAACTGGAAGATGTGAAAAAGAAGCTTTCGTGCGAGACTTCCCTCCAAAAGTGAAAGTGGAAGATGCGAAAACGAAGCTTTCGTGCGAGACCTCCCTCAAAATCTGAAAGTGGCAGATGTGAAATCGAAGCTATTGTGCGAGACTTCCCTCAAAATCTGAAAGCTGCAGATGTTGAAGAGAAGCTTTCGTGCGAGACTTCCTTCAAAATTTTGAAACTGGAAGGTTTCGTGCCATGCCATGTCATTCCAATCCAATCCATTCCATCCCATTCCATTCCATTCAATTCAATTCAATTCAACATTCCAGTCAATCTCCATTCCATTCCATTCCATTCCATTCCATTCATTCTTGGCCATCATAAATATCCGTAACACGGAAGTTCCTTCAAACTTCCTTTGACAACATCCACCAGGTATCACCAGGTAGCTCCTCTCGCATCTGGTCGTCCACCAGTGCGCGCAATTCAGCCTGGGGATAGGCCAAAAATAAGGCAATGGGGCAATGGATCCACAATCTTTGCTCATTCTGAGTACCAGGGTTACCAGTATCTGTGTGTCTTAAATGGGCTCATAATTTGCTCAATGCATGATTCTGTGTGCCCCAGATTTTCTGGTGTTCCCATGTCTCACCGATTCTCAACTTGCTTTCCATATCTGTCCTTTTTCAACCCCCAACATTTTCCCAATTTCCGCAATGTCGTTTTCAAAATTCCGGCCTCAACGATAGGATACACGGACTTCCTCGCCAGCTCCAAGTCGTGCCTCTGGTCGAAGTTGTTGCTCTCGTCTTTGTTCTGAGCACACATCAGTGGCTGCGAGACAACCTCTTTTGGTTGATGCTTGTAAAATATTTCAATATCATATACTATATTTTTTTGGATTTCAACATGTGTCTTTAAAAAGTCAAGGACTCAGAGAAAGGTTCGAAAGTGGCAAAACTGTTGCGTCTCTCTTCATCCGCTCCTCCCACTGCTCTGTGTACTGCTTGATCTGCTCCACAAATTGTTGCACCACTGCGGAGTATCCGACGCCCGCCTGCGCCAGCTTTCACAATTCAAATCAGTATAGGTTCAAATATGGATAATATGGATATAGGTATGGAATGGTATGGATATGGATATAGACATGGACAATTATTGATATACATTGGGGATGAAAGTGTGCCTTTCTCTGCAATCAACCAAGCTCATTGCAAGACTCGCTTTGTGCTTCAAAATCCTAAGCTAGACTTTTGGCTGTTTTTGGGAGCATCTTTCTTCAACTGTCGAAGGTGAGGTAAAGCATTGGCCACAGATGCGGATTATGTCAGACTCTACAAGCTTTCACCCTTTTTGCCATTTGGCATTCATCGTACGTCTAGGCCTATGCACCATTTGTGCTTGGCATCTCGACACGAAACATCGAAACATCGAAATGAATCCGCGCAGCACGCTGAAATGCTCCACACACTTTCGAATCTTAAAAAGAACTCAGGTTCTGCTCTGGAGGCTTCTTCATTCCAGTGGGCTTGTGCACCTAAAAAATGCAGCACCTGCTATTGCGATGCAAATGTTTGTGAAACGAGAACTAAAATTCCTGAAAATCGGTCTTGGCTTGGTGCCAATGCTGAAAAACATCTGGATGATTTCCAATCGCCAACTAAGTTGGTGAACTCCTCCCCTATAACTGGACTTCCCATTTGGATCCATTTGGTTTTGATTCAGCTTGCCCTATCAAGAGTTAATCACTTGGTAGAGGGGCTTTGTCGGATGCAAATGCACCAGCTTACAAACTCTGTGGGTCTCAGAGCAGGAAGTGCTCTTCTTAACATCGCGAATGGTTCGCAGATGAAAAGGTCACCAGACACGCTGGTGACACGTTTATGCCATCTTGTTGCTTGTCCGTATTAATCGTATTCTAATTCCGAACATTTCCCAACATTTCCCAACATTCTGAGTGTGAAAAAGGGCACATGAGAGCAAATCAGAGCCGAGTACTCCGCAGCTCCAAGGCATCTGTCGATATCTGCGGTATTTCGTCGTCAGTTTTGTATCGAAAATTGTTGTCAACTCTGAGTCATGCCGGATCACCAGAATTCCGAAAAGGGTCGAATATTACGGTACAAAACATGTTGAAATTGTTCCCCAAATACTTGAAACATGTTGAAACATGTTGAAACGACCAGCTTTAATTTGTGTTCACGTTCTTCCATCTTGGGTGAGCACTACAACCTTGGAACATCTTGCCCCACAGTGTGTCTGGTGACAGTCAAATCAATTGCTGGCACCACTGCCGCTCAGTTGAGAGGAAGCACCTCAGTCAATCAGGCCTCGTTACGCTACTGGTCGGAGGATATTGGGATTGTTGTGACATTTCACCACCCCTGCCGTACCCAGACATTTCATGGCCATCATTGAGAAGCTGGCGATGATTGCGCGTCACAGGCTGCTCAATGGTCTGTCAAACGGGCAAGAGGCATATTGTTTTTTAAATCAGTGGAATCGAATGGAGGTCATTTCCCTGCTGATGTGTCGCACATTATGCTGAGTGCATTCTTCCTCTTTGTTATCTGTTCCTGCTGGACATCTGCACAGATCGCGCTGCAAAGGTGCCCTTTTTCTGCGGGCGGCTCTCAGATCCCTTGGATCTTAAGAACTGGGCGAATCACAGGAAGTTGATGACGGTCACCGACGGTGACCGACGGTGACACTCCAAGGGCACTGGCCACAGCTCTGTGACGCGATTCACCGGCCATTTTTGTGGAAGTCGCTCCAACTTATGCCCAGAGGACCACGACCTGAAGCTGCGCCCTGTCAACCACCACGTAGCAGGCAGGGTTTGGCTTTGAGAAATGTCAAAGCTGAAGATGAATCTTCACCGCCGACAGGACCCGATTACTTGAAGGAAACTCATCTTTTCAAGTCTGCTTCCAAGGAGTAAACGGCTGGCTCCTTCCAAAATTTGTCAATGACCCACCGTAGTTAAACACGGTAGCATTTGGCACTGCGAGTCGGATTGGCTTGGGACTTGGCCGTTGCAAATTTTGACTGTAGATCTGAGCCCGTTGGTCCCCGTCTAACACCACAAAAGGTCTTGAAGGATTTGAATTGGAATCTACAACTCCTTGTTGAAAGCTGTGACGGAAGACATGCAAGAGGAGCCCGGAGCGAATTGCAAAGGAAGATAGCAGAGGCAAAGGGTGAAGCATAAGGTGGACAGCCAGAACCGGTGAATGATTTGAGGCAGCTCACATTCAAGATGTAGATTCCTGAAAATCCCCCCTCCCCCCACCTGTCCTTTGGCACAGGCCGTAGCTGCATGTCTGGGCTGGACAAGCCTACCGCGACTGCCAAGAACAGCACCGCAAGTACTGCCACCAGCAGCAAGAGGCACCACGGGAATGATGATTTCTCTTTGCCTTGGCAGAATCAGCTACCATACATGGCTTCTCCCATACATGGGTTTGTCTGACAATACTGTATCTGAAAAGGAGGCACAGGATGATCATGAATTTTGGGGTATAGCCTATATAGCCCATTTTCAACTAGTCGCCCAGAGTTCTACAAGGCAAAACAGCTCACACCGTTCTTTGCCAAGGCCGGAGCCTTCTTCCTTGGCTTGAAGCTCTGAATCAAATCCACTCCTTGGCAACGACTTGGCCCTTTAGATATCCACCAAACAGGTTGGGCTGAGGCCAATGTGGGCATTGCACACTTGACGTCCAGTGCCATCTTAAATCAAGCCATGGGACAGTTCTGCAAAGCAGCTTGCCTCTTGTTCGATTGCTTCCAGCAGCAATTCTCGACTCCCTTCGTCACTCAGCAAGGCATAGGCCTTTCGGATACGCTGGAAGCGCTCCTGCAAAGTCACCCCATGCCCCTGACCAATGGCAAAAGAGGTAGATAAAGGAGCTTTCCCGCCCGAGGTAAAAACACCTTCCATGATTTTCCTTCCAGGTAAGGGGCTCATCTGCGCGCAGAGAATTGGCTCTGCGCACACAAGTTTTATCCCATTTCTTTTTTGACTCATCTGCGAACACACAATTTGACTCATCTGTGCACACAGGGGTGGGGTGGGGTTGGGGTTGGGGTGGATTGGGGTGGGGTGCCAATAACGTTCATGTTCACTTGCAGACGCAGGCACTGCACACTGATCATGCGGGGTTGGGGGTGGGGTGGGGTGGGTGCCAATAATGTTCATGTGCCCTTGCACACACAGGCACTGCACACGGATCACGTGCACACACAGGCAGGAAGTCGACAAGTAGCTCAGAAGTCCGAGGCCCACAAGCCGAGTAGAGTAGAGTGTTTATATAAGGCAAAGTAGAGTAGAGTAAATTTGACTGGAGTAGAATAGAATAGAGTAAGAGTAGAATATAAAAAGTAAAGTGATGTAAAATGAAGTAGAGTAGTGTGTAGCACAGTACAGTAGAGTAGCGGAACGTAGCGTAGAGTAAAGTGGACTGAAGAGTAGAGTACAATGAATAAAGTCAGCTCCACCAGATGTAGAGAAGTATCTCAGAAGTCTTGAATGCAGTGGAGCGGCACTGAAGTAGAGAAGTAGCTCAGAAGTCTGCAGTCCACTCCCAGAGTAGTGGAGCAGAGCACAGTGGAGTAGAGTGAAGTAGCGTAAAGGATGATGATATAGTACAATAGAAAAAGTCAGAGTAAAGTAGCGTAGATTCCATTGTAGACTGGAGGAAATTCGCGTGCAAGGACCCGCATGCAAGGACGAGTCAAAGATCCGCATGCACAGACGAGTTGATTTTCGCGTGCACAGACGAGGCCTAACCTTTTCCAAACCACAGCTGGTCTTTTTTGGCACCATGCGATAGCTATCCCATGGTATTCCTGTGGTCCTCAGCATCTGGTTTTTCAGACGTGTCTGGATGTTCCAGTCGCACTGCTTTGCGATAGGCCATGCGGATGTCATCCTCTGTGACAGAGGGATCACAAGCCTGAGCAAGGGCGATGTCAGTTGATGGAGATGTCTCAAAAATTGGGAAAAAAGAACCATTGAAGTTGTCAATCTTATGAATGAAAATGAGGAAAATGAAAATTGGGATAATATTTGTAGACCCAGGTTGTGCCTCCAGCCCCAAAGCACGCCACGGACCACTGAAGTCTCCCTCGAAATCCTTTAGAGCTTCCTCCAAGCTGGTCGGGAGCATTGAACCTCAGGAAGTTGTCAGAAGTTGGAATTTGCAACTTGGGGCCTTCCGATGACTTAGATTGAAGCAACATCTACGGAGATTCCACCGATGATTCATTTTTGACCACGAACTTTTGAATCATATGTTGGCCTTTGAAAAACATTTTGCCGCAGAAACAATGGCACAAAGCGCACTGATCAAATTTGGATCAAATCTTCACTGAAATGATCAACAATCATGAAATTGCCCGATCAAAATGAGCAAGTCACCTGACTTAACAGGTAATTAGAGACATCAACAAACAACATATATGTTTGAGAAAAAACATCAACACAACTCATCATTTTTTTTAATCAAATCTCGAAAACCGTGTTGCGCCCAGCCACGGAGTTCCTCGGACCTCGCGTTGAGTTCCTCCACGTCTGTCATGGGCTCCGGCCCCGTGGGCTCCGTGGGCGGCTTCGCGCAGCTGGTGACGGTCACGGCGGCCCCCACGAGCACCGCACCCCCAACGGCCACGGCCACGACGCTGGCGGGGATGGCGCGGGCCACGTGGCGCGGTGGACCTGAAACCGATGGAAAACCCATAGGAAACCCATGGGACCATGGGATAAA